CAGTTATCTGCCAACACTCTCAGCCATTTTACGGCTGCTTTATATGGTCTATTTTCCTGGGAGACAGTTTTGTATACATGTGTGTTTTGATAGCAGCTATGTAAAACCATCAACCTTTTTTGCCCTTAAATCAGTCTTACTAAGAGAGATCTTTAATTGGCATCACTTCTCTGTACAGTAGGTCTTATATTTGTCTTACTCTGTTTGTCTGCACAATAAAGGCAGGTACATGAAAATGTTGTTTCAAATTTGGAAATGAAAAAGAAATGTATGCAGTGCATCAGGAAAAAAAACTAGAAAAGTCGTGGTGTTTTTTAGGCTAAACTATGTCATTATTGTTGAGCAATGGTTTCAAAAACCCTGTGCATTAAATACAGGTTAGATGCGATTTTTTTTAGGCACAATCAACAGAAATGTCCCACATGTTGCACTTGTTGAAAGGCAAAATAATCGTAATTCTTAGACAATGACGCTGTATACCTCAGAGCTCTGCCATGTTCACCTACCATTGACGTAAAAACTGCTGTGGTTCATGAGTTGGTGTAGTTTTATTGCATACAATAAACCTGGCAGACACTCAGAAATAGTTGTGGTACCCACAAACTTCAGAATGTGATATAATAATGTATTCGCTCATAAAAATTCCAGCCTGTAGCTGTGTGCGTATGCATGCCTTTGTGTGTGTTTATAGGTACCTGTAAAGGTGGCTGCATGTTGTCAGGCCGTCTGGTCGCGTCCATTACTGTTACTTACCTTGAGCTCTCCTTACAGCATGCAATTTTTCTTCTTTATTTGAATTCTTACATGTGTGTGGGTCTTTTCTATATCATTAGAGAATTAGAGGAGGAGATGTTATGTAGTTGCAGCAGGGCAGAATGCTGAACTTCACATGATACAGCGGGACAGCATAATTTAAAGTCTTTTTTATGTACAGCAATAAGAAACGTATTGTTTTAATAGCAGATCCAGAAGATCTGTTAAGCACCAGTGGTGCAGTGTTAAGCACCAGTGGTGCTTAACAGTGGTGGTGGTCATGGAATATTCCATAAGCCTTCTTATCACATTAATCATTTTTAAAATGTGCATCAGTAATATAAGAGAGGTTAATGCTTTTTAAATGTGGGCCAACGTGCATTTGGAGCTACTATCCAGCAGCCGTTGCTGGCAGCACTCTTCTGAAGAGCTAAAGGAGTGGCACTTGTCTCTTTTACCTAATACTCATCAGTTGTTTTTTTTTATTTCTTCAGATTTGCTGGAAAACAGTGTGACTCATTCACAAGATAATTGTTTATGGTTTTTATCAATATGTCAATGCATTGAAATCCAGCAAACTATGCTTGTCGTTTCTATTTTCTTTATGTGCTTTGAGAAAGTGTTTTTCCTCTGTTCTCACGGGTCGTCCAATGATTTGTTTGACATATTAGTTCAGTGTGTCTACAGCGCATTGAGCTTTCAGTTTTAGCTGTTGTTTACTATGATATATTTTACAGTAATTGAAAACATGGAGTGAATGTGGCCCATTCAAAACCCAGTGACTCTATTGTAAAACAGTTATATAGTAAATTTGTGGCTATCTGCCAGGTGGTGGTTCCTAATTTCTACAGCCACACCGTTTGCCTGCGTGTTTGTGTTTGTTAGCTCTGAAAAGCACAATAGAAGTGCAGCAGAGAAAGTCCTAGCGGGCCAGTTTGCTTTCATTACAAATCCTATTTCTACCGTCAAGTATTTATCCAACTTTTGCTCTTTGAATGCGAGTATACTGTGTGTATTTCTGAGTGTATCTGTGTGTTGTTTTTTGTGGTACTTGTGTGGAAGCGTTTCTTTGTCCACGCATTCTTGTGTTTTCTGTGTGTGTCTGGGTTTGAGTGAGTTAGTGAGTGAGTGAGTGAGTGCGTATGCGTGTTGCTTTACCCCGACGGACCTTGTCATGTCACAGTGACCAGAAAGCAATTATCGGTGTATTGTCGGTTTTAGAAAGACCTCCTGCACTCCCCTCTTCCTGCCGAGAGAGGATGAGAGAGAGAGAAAGGCGAGATGAGAGTCCAACGAGAGGGTAAAAGAGAAAGAGAGAAAAACGGAGTTGTGCGAAGTGGAAAAGGACGAAGGCAGAAAACGCAGAAAGAAATGAAAGAGGGAAAGCCAATGAGGGAGGGAGAGGAAAACAAAGACTTGGAGGAAGAGAATGTCAGGCTGACATTGCTGAATCATTTGAAAGCACTCCAGGGCCACAGCTTCTGTGACCTGCTGCACCCCTCACAAGAACACTCAATCAATATGCACACACTCAGATGCACTAATACAAACATGCATGATTTCCTTGACAAAGACTTCGATCTTTGCTTTTGAGAATGCTTCCATACATAACACTCCCATTAATATTAATATACATTTTTAATGTGGCATAGCTTGTAAATCAGATTGTGATTCAAAATGCACCACTCCTATCCCAGTAATAAACCACACAGAGGAGGAATTAATTTCAGTAATTCTGCCAGTCATTGAGAGGAACTAATATTAGACAGATCCCTCTGGGTGGGCAGAGCCTTTTCAAATCTTTAGCATAGATTTCTCTGCAGTCTACACACTATCTTTGACAGTGAAAGATGATTCATTATTCAGATAACTTTGATATTCCATTTAAATCAAATATTCATAGTTAGTGTTAGTATTTGATTACATCACCTTGGCTTTCCTTAGTTATGATCCTAAAAGCGTAGCACGCCTGCACATCTCAAAAGTCCTCTTTCTTTGATAGCAGATACAAATTAGTTTTGATCATCTTTCAGGTCACAGCTGCTTTATCCTCCCACAAAAGATGATCTAACCTGGCTCAGGTTCATACTTTGGTTCGATCGCTCTTAGACTTCAGCAAAGATTTCCAGAAGATTTTTTTAAGAGTCCCAAGACAGCACTTCCTGGTAGCATTGTTTGAATAGTTCTGTTGTGATTTAACCTGCTGCCCTAACCTGAGCTCCCTGGAAGAAGTCTTTGCTTTGGACTGCTGTTTTTCCAAAAGTTAATCTGATCTGTTAAAAAACAAAAGAAGAAAACTCAACAGAATAATGCTATCATCACTGTGTGGGATTGTAGGAAGGAATAAATGAGGTAATGCTTATCTGCGGATCTGGTTTCCTGTATACACACCACTGGGAACTGTGATTCGGTATTTGTTTTAATAGATCAAGATTTTGCTTCTAATGCTTCCAGGGGAATTCCACTGGGCATAAGAGGACACTGGTGGCCTTGAATATCAAACAGCGCATTAACTGTATGTAACACTGGAATAAAACAGAATTACCGCATCAGTCTGATTAATACATGTACAGATGTCCCTTGAAAAAAGCTCAAATATAGATATGAGCCCTCAAAGCTGAACTGTAAAAAAAATGGACAATCCTGCTATAGTTCAAACACATTTGCATTTATTTGCTCAACGTGACTCAAAGCTTAGACTTAGAGGTCTGTCTTTTGGTTAAAAAAAACATTTAAGTTTTAGTGTATTTAACACATACTTTTTTGTTTACTGTCCAATAACTGGAACAGAATCTGGTATGGTCACTCTTGATGGTCATTCCTGATTTTATAATCATAACATAATTTGGACAAAATCGCCATTCACTCAGAGACAGAAGTGGAGAGATGGTTTGAATGTTTCTTAAATCAGTCCACTGTGTTGCACTGTATGGCTTTCATTGGTTGAAAATAATGCAGGCAGGATATGCATATGCTGATGTTGTTATGACATTACACAAATATTTTTACTTCAGTAAGTTGCATGCCAAAGATTTTTTAATCTTCAGACAGTAGTAACACAGTTGGATCCAAAGTGTAATTCATCCATGGGCTGACATCCATCTCCATAGAGTTATGGATAATACAGTGCTACAATATGACAGGCTGTTGAGCTTACTTAAGGTCAAAATGTTGCAGCCGAGCATTTCTTACCGGGCTCCATTTTCATAAATGTATTAACTGGCCTGCAAAGCTGCTGTGTTGATAAAAAATCTGAATAAAATCATCCTGTCTTTTCGACAACACAGCAGATTCCAATTTTAGCACAGCGGGGATATTAGCCATTTACAACAGCCAGCATGCTCACTCTGCATGTTGCCAGGAATCACTTTGCTCTTCTTATTTCTTAGCCATCTTTGATGTTCAAATAGTGGTATTGTGAGGGGTTTTATTTAATCTTTTTTATTCTATTTTATGTTCCCTTCATTTGTTTTGATATCTGTTAGTACATTGGTCACTTGAACAGTAAAAGAGAGGGAAGAGAACAATAGAAATGTAGCAGCTAATGTTTAATCAGGTTTTAAATTCAATTAAATTCAATTAAATTTCATTTATATAGCGCCAAATCACAACAACAGTTATCTCACTGCGCTTTCCAAACAGAGCAGGTCAGACCCTACTCTGAAGTTATTTACAGATTCCCACCAAGGGCAAGCACTAGGTGACACAGGCAAGGAAAAACTTCCTTTTCAGAGGCAGAGACCTCAAGCGGAACCATGGCTCAGGTGGGGTGGCCATCTGCCTCACCCGGTTGGGGGTGAGAGAGAGAGAGGGCAATAGAGAGAGAGGGAGAGAAGGACAGAGAGAGCAGAGGGAGCAGGGGGAGGCAGCCTACACAGTAACACATAGAAGTATAGACAAGTAAAGGTAGTGTTGCTATAGACTGGATGAAAAGGCATGCAGATAACTGCCAAACGGTACTGTACGGTGAACACAAAAATCTGAGATAATTCCACTGAAACCAGTATCCTACTTCACCCTTAACATCTATGATATACTTTCTTTTGTTTGTATTTACCAGAATTCTCACTTTATTCATTCAATGCCTTATGTCTGTCCGCCCTCATCTCTTTCTCTTCCAGCTACTGTGTAAGACCCAAGCTCCGGGTCAGAAACAATTTTCTCTTTGCTCCTGGCACGCTTTAGTGAGATATTTCTGCATCTTTGTTGTGTCAACTAAACTCAGATCTGCGTGTGTGTGTGTGTGTGTGTTCACAGCACTGAGTGAGGAGCTACAGCATTCCTCTGTTGAGCTTCAGAAAATGAAAGAGGAGAAAGAATGGCTAACTCAGCAGCTGATGTAAGTGTCTACATTCTGTGGTAAAGCATGCATGCACACACACACACACACCCTTATGAAAACAGAAGCACAGAGGGAGACGCAGGTGGATGGTGGTATTTGGAATATGCTGGGTGAACAACAGGTCATTGCAAGGCTTGGCTTTAAATGTAATTCCCCTCAACCAATCAAAACCATCTGTATAGCCTTGCTGACAACACCCAAACCAGGAAATGCTCACGGTCCACAAACTGGGCCCTGCTAAGCTGCAACAACAGGGGATTTGACTTGAATACTCTCACACAAAGGTCTAGTCAAGGGTTTAAGAATTCAGAATAAATATGCCCCTGTGGCTTTTTAAAATAAACTGCGGTTGAAGCTCCATCAGTTCAAAGATTTTGCAAATGCTTTGATTTTTTTTAAATAAATTCCTGGGTCTGCAGACAAAATACACATATGTTGAAAATGAAAATATAGATCCACATCTATGGCACGTATTTTCTAAAATGTGTTGAAAATTACTTAAATCCCCCCAAATCAGCAGTTTTTCAGCCCTATAAATTCTTATGTCTTTAGGCTACAGCTGTTGGAATTTTCTGTACACAACTGCCAGAATATCCAATCTGCTGAAAGTTAAAGTAAGCAACATTTTTGTGTTATTGTCATGAAGAATTATGATAGAAATAATTCATGCTGATGTTACTTTACCAACTGGAGCCTAACTTTGACCAGTCTGAGGCAAAGGGCATCCCTGGAGGCAGATGTTCTCCCTTTGCACACGTCATAACTGCTTGCATGCTGTTAGACAGAAGTCAAAGATCTCTGATGGGTTAAAGTTACACAGAACATGGAAGTCAGAGAATATTTCTCCATCTTTAACAACTCAAAGTAAAAGTTATGTTATTGGTATTTAGACAGTGAAACTTCTTCATCAAGAAGATGTTTGCTGTTCCTCCAGCATTTGAACATCTGTGTGAGTTGTGTGTTCAACTCTGCAACAGTGTGTGCTAATATGGATTACATTATTTGGTTCCAGTCCAGCATCAAATTGCTACAGTGTCGATGTTGAGTCTTTAGTTAACAACCTCCATTGAGAAGTGAAATTCAGTTAATCAGCATCCCCAGAAGCAGTACCAGTGGACACATCAAATGATTGTCTACAGTGCTTCATACACAACTTGCAGAAAAATGTAAATTGCACGCCCTGTTTGAGTCAAGCACACTTTGAGATCCCTGTAAATCTTTTTGGATTCTTTTTTCAAACAGTTAGCTTTAACAATGTTGGGTTTTTGGAGCATAATGTGAATAAGAAAATATGACTAGCAGCCATTTGGGCTGAGCACAGCATGTGCTGTGCTTTGCTGCTGAGTTCATCACACTGATGGTTGAAACTGCTGAATACAGAACACATTAGATGTTGTTTTCAATACTTTGAGTGTGTCATTTGTCATTGGTAAGCAGGTTTGTATGCGGTGTATATGCTTACAGCATGGAAAATGCATCTGGCCCTGCTACCACTGAAAGGAAGATAATGCACTTTATTCTACCTGGGCTTCGATGGTGGGAAATTGTGATGTACACGTTTATAAATTTATACACACATCTGCTGAAAAAGTTGTTGCATTTTCTTCTAAAACAACCATAACAAAGATACAAATTCATGGCATCAATGGAGCTGGTAAGATGATTAGTATATGTGAAATAAACCAATGATGTCAAACTGAGTCCCTGATGACTGGCTAATATTTCTCTCTTTTTCTGAACATTTGTGTGATTAGATAAGAGAAATAATTAATTGTAGATAATTTATTGTTTTAATTTCCTGACACTGGTAAATAACAAACAGTGGTAAAGTTTTCAATTTTTTCCCTTCTCTGAGTTATAGTGTTATTTCTAAGCAACAGATAGCCTTCTTAATCTTGATGACATCATTCCTAACAACCACTTCAAAAGTGTGCATGCAGGCGTGCAAAGACACACAAACAATCTCCTACACAGGAAGGGAGTAAAATTTCAAATGAAATGTTACCTTTATCTGATTATTAAGACATTAAAGATCTGCTTGACCTGACAGACTACAGATGAAGCATTCATTTTTTCGCTAATGTTTCCTCCTCCTACCTCCACAGTTGCTCTTTCATTCTTCCATTTGTTTTTCTCAGAAATGGATGGTTTCACTCTAGTTTTCTTGAACTTGACTGCTGCCCCCTTCAGTTTCTTGCTGAGCGTGTGGTGACATGCAGGGTTCTGGAGAACGACAAACTGTTTAGGCTGTGGTCATTGTACAAGAGATTCATGTTCATGCTGTTGTTGACCCTTTATCTTTGTCACAGTAAATACCCATCTCTGACAAAGCTTCGTGTTAGTGTACCGTAGATCCAAACTGTGGCTTTTCCTTTTTAAGTTCAAGTCAGTATTTTTAACCAGTCAACATCTGTCCTGCATGCGTAGCGTTGCCATGCAGGTGTGACTCGCTGTTTGTCGAATAATATGAAAGTACATCTGCGCAGCCTCTTTGATGGTTAAATTCCTCCAGCCTCTGCAGAGGCCCAGAGCCATGTATGGAGATACATAACTGGAGTGGATGAATAAAAATGCTTGAACATTTCATCTTTAAATTTTGTTCAGTCTCTCTCCTCTCTTTCCCTTTTCCTTCTTTCTTGATTGGGTTTACTTTTGAACTAATTGAACATCTGGGTTTGATGCAAAATAGATTTTCATACACAACAACTGACCTCTTGCCCCTTTCCATCGCATACAAATTGGACTGTATATCCCATATACAATTGGGACTTTGTGTGGATCGGGAACATTCATCTAGTACAGGGATCAGTGCTGAGACAGGGAGGATGGAGGAGTTGTTTGTACTGTCACGCAAGCCTTACAGACATATGGACATATGCATGCTATGGGAGAGGGAGCCTTAAGGCCATGAGTTTTGTGCAGAGAGACAGGCAAGTGAGCTCAAGTCTGAAACTTCACTGCATGTTAACAACGATGTGTACCTTTATCGTGATGATTTCAGAAAAAAGAAATGCGGCTTTCAGTTTTTTCAGAGCAGTTAAATTTTTTCTTGTCCTATATCTTTATTGACTCATTCTGACATAAAATAAGTTATTGTGTTCCATTACAAGACACCCACTCTTATTGTCAGTCCACTGTTTTACTGAGGTAAAACTTTTTTTTAGCTGCTTAACAGGACTACTCAGAAGAGAGAGGAGGGAGATTAACATGAAAAAAAGGTGGAACACGGCCAGACTTAAAAGCAATTAATTTCTAATGATGGTTTCGAACTTTTTCCAGGATTATTTGTTTCTACTGGTAATACACAGATTCTGCTTGCTCTAGTTTTGCAAAGCAACTTTGTTAATGTTCAGTTTTAATTCATGTCGGTGTTTGTCTTTTACTAAGAAAAGGACTACAAATTAATATCCACATAGTAAAATGCAACAGTGGGGCACTTCTGAAAGTTTAAATCGCATTAAGTAAATTCTAGAGAGATTTGGAAAAACAACAAATTATGTTTGAATCTGTTTAAGATTTTAATAAATGAGTGAACAAAAGTCGAGTTTGTTTTAACCATACGGTTTCAGTCTGAAACTACAAACTGAGATTAAACATATTTTTGGTGCTTAAACTAAGAACACGAATGGCACTCATGTGCGGGTATGTAAAAACACCAGCGATCAACAGGATGCAGAGTGAGGGAAGGGGAGGAGAAAACTAATTAAAAAACTAATTGAACTCTTAAGATGTGACACACTACTTGTAGAATAAACAGAAAAGCTAAATGTTCCATGTCTCTTAACTCAGTAGACAATACGCGATCATATCTGATGTCTACAGCATGTCAATTGTTTGTATTCTGTAAAAGGGAAATTGTTTTAACAAAGGTCTGGCTGTTTGTAAGGCCTGTAGAGCATTGAAGTGGAGTGTATGATAAATCTGAACACACCTTTGGGGACACAACATGGAGAAACCTGTGCAAAACGGTGCTGGCTAGTGCTGTAAAGACAACCAAGGACAGCACTCCAGATACAGACACAGTGATTAAAGGTTCTTGCCAACCTCAATCCCAACCTTACAAGGTCACAAGTTATTACAGCACCCATCTCCTGATTTATAGCTAAATATATACAACCCTTGTGACGGAGAGTAATGACTACACAGTGTTTTTCTGGGAATCATTGAGCAAGAATTTCACGTAAAGCACAAAGTCAAGCAAGAACTTACAAACACAGAATAAGAGGCAGTGTAAACTAGTGCCTTAGGATCATGTGCAGGACTATTACCAACCTTTGTCTTCATCTTTGGATGAATTAGATTAAATGATTAGGTTTCTAAACAATGTCATGTATACTATACAGAAATGATTAATATTCATTTATACATTTTCCTGTGAAATAAAAATGGTCTTATATAGCCCTTGTTTCCAGATGTGCACCAAATCTCACGGGAAAGACACTCACCTCCCTGAGTTTCAGTATTAACACATATCTAATTTGAGTGGGAGTTCAGTGTTTACATTTTACATCATTATGAATTATGTGAGCTCAGAATCCATGAGAATGTGCTAAAGGAAAATCAACTGGCTTGAAACTAGGTAAATTTCCGCTTTATTCCATTCATTTTGGTTTAGAGCCTATGCGGTTCAGAAGAAAATCCTGATTTATTGATTGATTCTTTTTTTAGTATTTGTAGATTAACAACATTTAATGTGAGCTGGGGATTTTCCCTCTGCCCCATGTTGCAAACAGCCAGACAGTATCTAGTCTAGACTGTGTTCCAGATGGGAAGTTGGAGTGGATTGGCAAACGCTCTTTTCACAGTCTAGCTCATAATGATTGTGAGTGTATGTTTGTCTGAGGCTGAGTGTTCTTTATGCTTTCCGTCTAATTGTGTATCATATCAAGCTCTAAACTTTCTAAACCTTTGATATTCTCTGGAGAATAAAAAATAACAAGTTTGTATTCTAAAACCATACGATGACCTCCCGCCTGTGACGAGCATCAGTATACGCACCTGTTGTCTTGCTGTTGGCGCCAGCCCGTGGCGTTGGAAGCACACACACACACATATACTTAAAGGGCACGCTGAGGACAGAGACCGGCTGTGGAATTTTTCTGATCTTAGCAGGCCGTCTGAGGGACGTTCAAGGGCAGCATGTTTAGTCATGGCAATCCACACTGAAGGATTTCTTTTTTCTTTGTCAATCTTCACTGTCCCATTGAACACCTATGCTGTTTGCCTGATACTTTACGAGGACTCTGTGGAATGTGAAACGTGCTGTGAGGGATTTTGGTATGGTGTGACGATATTTGTTTGAGACATGAAGTACATTTCACACCACTGGCTGCTGCACATGTTTACAGAGGACATGGACAGTTATGAAACCGTACCCCATGGGGCAACTTGACTGCAAATCTGTGAATCACTGGATGCCTTACACCCCCCCCCTCCCTTTAACGTCTGCACGGCAGGCATGAAAATGGTGTTGGAAAGCTTCCTGCTGGCTTCTGATTGGCAGCAGACTCTGAGCTCATTCTTTCAACAGAAGATGAACACACAGAGCAGGTCTGTTTGTAAGGTGGTGTACGGGGAGAGGGAGCAGTAGATGAAAGGGCGGATGAAAGAAAAAAATGGTGGAATGAGTGAAGGTCGAGAGAGAGAGAGAGAGACAGAGACAGAGAGAGAGCAAAGGATTGATGTGATACAGCTTGTTTTCATGTGATCGATGCTCACTGACTGTTATGTGTGTGTCTGTGTTCATGTAGGTCTGAAAGTGTGAGTGAGTGCGACAACTGGCAATGATAATCCTACTGATCTCAAGGTGTAAACGTAAAAAACCTCTTTCCACCATATCTTGCTTGCCATATTGCAGGAGGGAAAAAATCCTGTCTTAGCTCCATCTGCTCTCATGAACTCATGATAAATGAAATAAGAAATATATTATTTGCACTCTTAATTGATCTGATTTAACAGATAATCATATTATTCTTGTTTCTCTATTTGTTATCATTTGAGCACATGCCTCTCAGCAAATTACATTGTTCTGAATTGCTGGGATTTTTTTTTCCAACCATCTGGCTGCTTGTTATTTTTGTGAACAAACACTGAAGTGGGAGGAGACGCTCGGTTGGGCTTCACCCACACGCTGCAGTTTCTGTGTCTAGATCCAGCATGATTTGCACCTTGATCTGCCGCCTGTCTGCTCAGACTGGATTGACATAAAACTATGCAAAATTTTCCTCTCTATAATCGTTGGAGTAATCCCTCATGTCTGTTTAATTTTTATGATGCATCTTGGTTGACTGGTTGACACATCTAATTACGCTGAAAACAAATTTGTTGCCAAGATGACAGGATGATAAGTGATACTTAATGTTTTCTTTTTTCTTATCAATATCTGTCATCCATACCAACTGATAATGTGTCTTTACTGCCAGCTGAAGGCTTCAGGTATGTCTCTCATCAGCAGTCTGTAATTTTAGTGACACATGTTGTCATGCCATAACCATGCATTCCAGATCTACTGTGGTTACTTTGATTAAATCTTGCACAATCCCTAAACCTTATTGTGATCATAAGACTGTTAAAATAAAATCAGAATGTTTCCTGAAACCTGTCAGCAACCACCTTGTTGTGAGAGAAGCTCCAGCTGATAATATGTGATTATATATGATAGGTTCTTCCTTGTCTACCATGATTTACATGTGCACGCTGGGTACATCACATGCCTACAGCCACTCTCACTCTGACTGGAACAGAAGGCATAGTGATGAATGATAATGAATTAAAATGGAAAAAGCTATTGCATTTGATTTTGGTCATATATTTCTGAACAGTAAAAGGCTCTGAAGAGAGGAGAAAAAAACAACAAGAAAAACAGTCTGCTGAATGTAAAGTAAAAAAAAAAACAAGAACAACAAGAAGCCTGATCCAAATCATTAGTCGTTTCGACGGGGACAATCACTACAGTTATGAGGAGTTTATTATTTTATTATTTACAGTGGTGATTGGCACTTGCCGTAATCCACCTTGGTATAATGTAGTAATAATTCCACCCAGATTTCACAGAAAATCTGGGAGATTTTACATGAAAGCAGACTGACTGGGCTTGAGCTCAGACAGGCAAGCCACCTCGTTATGTATCCTCATTGCGTGCAGTTGCAAGGTCACAGGGCTAGACAGCCAGCAACGTACTCACACACACACACATGCGCACACACACTCACAAACACATTAACTGATCATTCTGCCAGAGAGGGGATTAGCTTGAGAAGCCGACAGTGTTCGTAGGGTCGGGGGTAAAGTGGGTGTGACGAGGGGTGGGGGGTGGGATGGGATGTGGTGGGGGTGGGGGGGGGTTGAGCAGCCACCGTTTCAGCACGCAGAATTAAATCTTTAACTGAATTCCAGTTTATGTGAATTTTCAACAACTTCATATCTTATTTAATCTTATTTTTTTTCCGACAAAATTGCATCAATTATGCTCGCTGACACAGTTCAGTTTAGCTGTCTGACTAAAACTGAGCGAAAGGGATTGCGATATGTGGAAGCAGGAATCTTTCCTGAACTTCTGCCGATCCCAGTGGGAGGAGAATGGAGATTCAAGCGTAGGAGCACACCGGATAGTGGTTATATGGATTTGGTATCCTCCTTTAACAGCTGAGATTGTAAAAACATACTCAGAGTATTATCCTCTGTCTGAAAGTGAAATATTGATTTGCTCAAGTATATAAATTACAATTTGTAGAAGGTGAATTTTTTTTCACTTTCAGACAAGTCTAAATGTCTTCCTGATGAATTTTCCCTTTGTCTCCAGGGAGCAAAGGAGACAGAGGGACCAGCAGCTGTCTCAACAGGAAGCCTCTGAAAGGGAACATAATGGAAAACTACTTAGGTTAGTTATGCTCTTCTTTTTTTGCTTTTTTCCCCCCAACATTTTGGTTCCACTTCATGTGAGAAGTGCCCGTAACTTTTCCAGCACAGTTCCTTTTGCTCATCCATTCATTCCTCTCTTAATCGCCCTCTTCCTCTGCTCTGTTGCTCCACCACATCTCTCTCTCTCTCTCTCTCTCTCTCTCTCTCTTTCTCCCAAAGAGAGGTGGGTATGTTAACAGCTCTTTGATCAGCTGAGGAGATCTTAGGCTGTGTAAAGTACCAGTGACACTGCAGAGTCTCATGTGAGGCTGGCGCAACAGATGGAAGCATTTCTTATTTGGCATAGAGTCATTTTTCTCACACACACACAATCATTAGTGCACAGAGGCACACATATACAGTAGATATGGAATGGTACTTTGGTTGGAGAGCATCAAACTGATATGCGGGAGACACATATGTGCTACGCACCCCCAGACCACATTTGTACACCCACAGTCAGACTGTATGTATAGACATTAGATGTATAGAGGCTGCATATTTTCACACATGTTATCTGTTGGTATTTGCTTTCTGAGCTGTTGGCAGCCTGGTGTGTTCAATTACACTGTCAATTTATTTCCCTTCCTACACTGCAGTCTCTGATCTAACCCTCCGGCTCCAATACAGCTCAACTTATAATAGCAGTGGGGGTGGATGCTATTTCAGAAGGGATGAAAGGTTGGGTATAGGAAAAACAACAGTTCACCAAATTGAACAGGATGGAGACCATACAGTAGGCGCCAAAAGACAGTGTTTTTCAGATCAAAACACTGGTTTTCCCTGAGTGTGAAAATTTGTTGCACACATCAATACATCAATGGTCCTTTCGCTTTTTGAGTAATTAGTTTTATTATTTTTTCAAAGACAACAATTATTTCCCATACGTTTAAATTGACAATTGATAAATGACGAAACTAACCTGAATACATGTTTTCAACTTGTAGGATCTGCTTATGTGCATCAGTTTTTTACTTAAACATTATGTTTCTATAATTATTTCACACAGTCGCTGTGTGATTGTCAAAATACCAGAACTTGATTGGGCCTTTTTTTAATTAAATCTTTTCAACATCTGATTTTCATTCCTTTTGAACAAATACGTCTGTGTAAGTTTCTGTCCAAGTTTTTCATTTCTATGGACATATTGTTAATAAACTGTTGCATGATGACTCAAGCTGAACTAGACAGTCACAAAATAAATCACAGTTCATTTGGGCTTTGACATGTGTAAGGTGTTGAGTGTCTGAATGTGTTTACCATTTAAGATGAAATGAGAGATCTATGTGAAAAAGGAAAACCTTCTGTTTCTACAGTGTCCACAGCATGTTCCTTATATAATTTGCTTTTAAAACTCACCTGTTTACCAGTCAGTATAGAATTACTGTGCACCTGCAGGTGTGTATGCTTGGGTGGATGTTTAAAACATGCACAAACATGCCCTCTTTAAAAGCAGATCAAAAGTGCATGTCCTACCAGAATGTCAAATTGTAGACTTGTTTATGCACACACTCATCTTCTGTCTTTTCAACAGGTTACAAGCGGAATTGGAGGAGAAAAAGGAGAGGTGGTTGTTATGTCAACAAAGGTGTGATGCCCTACAGAGGCAGCGGTTGTCATGGGAACACAGAGAGGAACAACTAAACCAGAAGTACAATGAAGCTGTGGAGGAAGCGGCACAAATGAGGAAAGCTCTGGAGAAGGTCCAGCAGGAACAGAGAGAGCTGGGAAGAGAAAGGTTCTGGTTGTATACGGCTCCTGTGCACTGCACTTTCTTCTCACTGATGCTGCTTTATCCTGAGGTTCCTCTGTTCTTCATCCTGAACCTCAAACTTTGCCCGATCTTAAGTTTTCATTTAGCAGTGTTAACTGGCCACATTTCTTTTTATAGTCTACCTCACCCTTTTAGAATGAATGTGAACTAATCAATGTAAGCTACCTATGCTAACAAAGATTAGAGACTTGAAACTGCCAGTAAAGAAAACTCACAAACTCACAAACAAACTAGTTTAAAAGAAACGCCAACAGAATTTACTGAGCTGATTTTGGCTGCAGACAAGCAGTCAGTTCAATTGCTTTTGGATGCTCAGCATTTAAACCTTACAGACAACCACTTAAAGCACAGGCTGGTGACTGTGTAAACTCCAACCTGGAAAACAGGCTGTTGGGTTATAATGTTAAATACTTACAATCTTTTCTGCCTGAGAGACCACAGGGTGTGGAAAATCAGAAATTGATGCTAACCAAATGCCTTCATCCCTTTTCTTGGTGCAAAATGAGTGTAAATCTTAGTTTTCAGAGCTGTGCTCTGATTCCAGTGTAAGGTGTTACCTCTCGCTGTGTTCATCTCACACTGAGCAGCACACAGTTCTCAATTACCCTGCATGCTGGGTTGTTTGTCAGTACTTTATGTAGTTCATGTCAGCACATTGACTAAATGTTCCTGATATCAGGGTCTGTTAATGTTTGACTGAAACTCAGGTCCTAGTTTTTTTATGCATGAATTAGAGCTAACTCATTTCAGGTTCAATTGGTTTATTAGGTCAACGTCAAGTTAAGGACTGATTAATGCAGTGTAAAACTTTTATAGATAGTTTTGAGACTTTTCCGAGTTTCAAAAGACATAAATCAATACCGTCTACACAGGTTACACCCCAGACAGCTTGTCTGTCCATCTCCGGGCTCATCTTAGCGAGATCATGACTGCTCACATTTATTGGCAATAGTATAAATCAGTAGTTAATCTAATGCCCATGTCTTTAAGGCTGTAAGATCAAACTACTCAGGCACAGACAGAGCACAGAACCTTCACAGAAAGAACAGGCAACATGTTCCAAACTGGAACCGATTCCCACCATATAATAAACAAGAACTGTCTGACTCAGTTATATGAGTGACAACTGTTCTTTACTTATTTATCTTAATAGCTTCAGGACAATAAAACAAATACATTTTCTTCTCGGTATAGGTAACAAAAATCCTCTTTCAAGCAACTAAAATGCAGAAAGGCTGCTTTCCTTCGTCCAGCAAGACATAATTTGGGAAAGCCATCTTTATGAACATTGTAAGGATACATAAACATATCATTTGGTTGCCAACAGCACAGCTCTTTTCTACAGGGCTGCATGTTGGGTTCGAACTCTCAGGTAAGAAACACCACTGGTTCGAGATGCTGTGAAAAATAAGCAAGTGTTAAAATTTACTTCTATAAAACTCAAGCCACCATCAGTGGCATCTTTTTTTTCCTTTCCTTCCATGACTCTGGTGATGAATTTACATCCATATCAGCATAGCCGAGCGCCTCCAGAAAACATGGGCGAGAAAGCTGGACATGATTAAATTAGTACACATGTTTGGACTTTTGCCCCAAACCCATAGAAGGGTTTAGGGCAAGAAACATGTGAATGCTCAAAACGTACTTCACGCCATTTGATGTGACGATGGTCATGGTTGATATATTTATGGATTGTGGGCCCTGTCTCTATCATTAACTCTTTTATTTCAGTAACACTGATATGAAAAGTGAGAGATTAATTTCAATAATACAAACTATTTGTAGGCAAAACCACATTTACTTTGGCTTACGTTTATCTACCAGCTGCTTTCTGTGTAAAATCAACTGCTTTTCTGTGGCACGCCTTCAACAATTCTTACACATCATTTACATTCAAATATACACAAAGTAGGTGTTGGCCTCATACGCTGTGGGGATAACATGGCTCCCAAGCATGAGAGGCTTTTGGTTAGATTTTTTTCTCGTTACTGTGTTTATAATACAGTGAACATTCTTCTCCTCTGTGTCTAAACTAATGCATATTCTGTGCCTTTTTCACCCGAGTGGAGGAAACAGCCAAAAGCATTCCATGATGAAATCAGAAGAGATTACAGCTGAGTAATTAAAACTGTTTCTCTGAAAGGGATTCAAAGTTTTCATTTTCACAGACCGTTTCCAGTCTCGCAACATTAATCTGTAAATAAATGGCTCGGTCGGACTCAGAGACACACCCGTGGGTGTCCTCAGTTGAACTTGGTTTTCTTGTTGGAGGCCAAGTGGTCAGTCAGCATTTGTTTGCAGGTGATTTCTCCAGATGCTCCCATTAAGCCTAACACAGAAAAACGATGAATCGCTGATGGGGCTGTATGTTGCAACCAAAAGTGTTCAACACAGAGATTGAAAATTGTCTCTCTTTTTTTTTCCTTCTAAAATCAAGAGATGTCGCCATTTACAGCAATATCTAGCAATCCACCAAAGGACACATTGTTCCCATTTGTATACACCAGACTTTATTCTCACGTATTTTAGTTATCGTCACAGCTTTAAACAGCTCTTTCACAGTATCTGCCCCATCAGCCCTCCTCCTGCGCTTCCTCTTACAGACTTATCAGCTACATCATTGTCCCCTTCTGAGCCCTCGCTGACGCATGCCCCCAAACAAACGCTGGAGCTTTTTACCAAAATTAACAGAAAACAATCACTAAAAGAAAGCATCGGAATCTAATATGGCAAATAAATAAATACATTTCCAAAAACCAAATAGTTCATTTTTTACAAATGTTGCCCATAAATGCAAGGGAGTACCAGTGCTAGATTCATTAGAATACTTTCAATCCTTTAGAAACTAGAAGATGCATTTTTAATAGTTGATAATATATATACACAGTCTTGTGGAATCCAAAGATGGAAGACTTCAGTTGTTAAGTGACCATCTGAGACACCAGCAGACCATAGTTTCCCAAGGCCAGAGGTAGGCTTAAGGATGGTGAAACTGGGCGATGGTGGGACTGGTGAGTAGAATCAAAGTCAAAGATGGTGGAGACGGGGGAAGAAGGGGAGGGTGAGGGGAGAAGGCCCAGAGGAGAGACAGAGGCCATGACATCGGCCTCAGTGGTCATTGCACACACTGTCAGATGACCGCATGCACACACGAGTCAGAAAGACCTCACATGATCTCACAAACACATACAGAGGCCGAACATGACAGTCTGCCCCTGTTTCACCAAACGCACACGGAGTTAAAAACAGAGAGACAGCGTGAGCAAAAAAAAATAAAACAGACAAGAAAAAACAGGGAAAGTGACAGAGAGTGGAGAGAGTAAAAGATTTAAAAAGTCAGGAGAGGTCAGGAGTATCTTTGCTTCCTCATCCAACCGTTTAATGTGAGCGGACTCGTTTCAAGCGGTTTTAAGCTGCTGAGTTTTCGTGACAAAAAATATGTTCTAAAGTGCTCCCCAGGCTGTCTGCTCCTCCAAAGAGAAGTGGTTCAATGCTTTGGGCATAAGATAACTTCATCTGTGTTTACTTGGCTCATTTTTAATCTGTTTTCTGTGTTTGTCCCCAAAAATTCTTTTTGCTTTGCTGAGTGGAAAGTATTGTTTCATCTTTGTCTGGGTCTTAACTTTTATGGCTGTCAGTCCTTTTATTTTCACAGTTCATAAATTGTCATTGCTGTAAATCTGGGTCAGTTTTTTACAAGGCACACCATTTGCTGCTTTGTAATTCTGGGAGAGTGCGAGAAGATTCTTGACTTTCAAATGATAATCATCTTTCCAGGTGGAAAATACTGCTCCTAAAAATGGCCCGGAGGATGCATGAAGTCAGCAGAGATTCCCGTTATCTGTCGATCTACATTGTTGGGTCCCACACAGTAAAAACTATTTAAATTTTGTCCTTGAGTTGGGCCATCATTTTCTCACTGCTCTTTGAGAGATGAAGAAGGGAATGGGGTGTCTTTTGATGAGGTAGCAGCCGCTGATACTGCACATACCATGCTCCCTGCACACACACAGACACACACACACACATACACACTTGCCCCTGTCCTTAAAAGCAGCCTGGCGTGTGAGCAAATGAAAGAGTGTTCCCAGATTTTCCCATCATTCCTCCCTGTAATCCCCCAAGACCTCCTTCTGAGGGCTGAATTTGCACGCTCACACTCCCTGGGGTGGGTGGGGGGGGTCACACACACTCAGACACGCAAGCATGACACACACACTCACACTGAATCTCAATGTTGATTTTCAAACCGGCGGTGCTCTATCTTTCCCTAGATTTAGGTTTTTATTTGATAATCAGAAGGGAATTATATCTGACATGGCACGCACACAGGCACTCAAACACACCCACATTCAGACATATACAGATAGTGTATGCATCAGCGGTTTGTTACATATTAAAAAGGCTTGAGCTTCATAAATCTGTCAAATCCTCACTTCCAGGGTTTTCTCACCAGCAAAGACTTAACTGAAAAAAAATACCAGATGGCTGCGTGCTTTGGACACACAGACAGTGTATTATCCCGGTCACGTAGATCCGTGCACGCTGGTATGGTAACAATTGCCAAGCAGGACTAAAAGAACAGTTGTCACTCTGGAGGATACTTCCACGTCTCCCCTTTCGCGCACATCCCTCTCACACAGTCTCACTCGTTAAAAATGTCGGAGTACATTTAAATAGGATTCAGATCTTGGCATTGAACTTGCAACTCTGTGAGAGCACTCATGCATGGGTGTCTGGCCGCATCTATTTTTGTGCTTTTCCCTATGTGAGCATGTGTGGTAGTAGTCTGATGTGATTAGCCAGAGCCAGTGGAGTGAATAATATTGTGTCTGCCCCGACTGGGACACCAGGATGGAATGCGGCTGCTGCTTTTTATTATACCACAGATTGTCTACCACCTTATCAGATACACTGAATCAAGTGTGCACACCTGCACACACAAAGATATCACCTCACATGGACTCGTTCAGATGGCTCCACTTTGAACATTTTTTTCTCCAGCGTTCTCATGCCAGTGATTTAAACCAACTGTAACTCTTACCACAAAGCACATATCGACTACGTTAGGATCCGAGATTTGTTCCTACGCAGGCCTCGCTGTTTTGGGATGATTTGCTCTTTAAAAATGCTCCGATATTCTCTGAATGTTAATTTAGAGAATCTTTCTCACCGGGTCAATTGTGAAAACGTTTGCTTAAAAGCACTAGTTCCTCTTCTTGCCTTTGGTCGGTCTGAGATTTGTGCTCTCTCACATCTTATCAGCTGAACCAGCTGCTGAAATGACATGTTTGTCCAGAAGATCAACAAATCAATGAAGTTTGCCCTTTTTAGCGAACTAAAGCCCATCTCCCATAGTCCTGATTTAATATTTCTTTCTTTCTTGGCCTTCCGAAGGCCTTGTGGAAAAAAGAGACCAAAAAAAAGGAGCATGGATAAATATTATCAGAGCTTTTTGAGACATAAACAGATGTGATTTTAGGGTACTTACTGTGCTTAACTGTTCAGATGCAGAATGTGCTGCACTGCTAAAATGGCTAATGCAGTCTTTTGTGTGGATTTGAGCACGTGTGAGCGTTTGTGTGCGTGCGTGTGTGTGTGTGTGAGCGTTAAACATTATTTGGATTTCTTTCTGCACATGTTCTGGTCTATTCATTTTCACTGTTTTTAAAATTCCTGAGGCAAAAGCATCCAGTGACTCCAAACACATTATTCTACCTCATATGAGACTCTTTGGCCACATCCAGAACACTTCCATCTGGTTTTAGAGACAGACGGCTGTTTGCTTCTGCTGTATCAGGAGTTATTTCGCCCTGGGGCTCTCACTGTTTGAACGTACCCTAGGCTGCATTTATATTTACATTCCCATCATGCAATGTGCTTAATGTGGGCATATTACCTAAATAAAGAGCTGTATGTAGACTCTACGTACAGTATACAATACCTACAAAGATATATATTTTTAGCGTGTGTATTCTCTGTGTGTGTTTACAGGGATGCCTTGACTGAGTCTCACAGCAGAGTCATTGCTACGATGAAGGAGGACTTCAGACAGCAGCTGGCCACAGAAGTGAGTCTTTGACATTTCTGATGGTAATATTAACCCAGTCAAGAATGATTATATGAAAATGGACAACTGAATCAAATTAGCTTGCTGTAAATGTTCCTTTGTGCTCATTAAAAGCAGAAAAACACAGTGAGCAAGTTTTCAACCGACATCTTTGGACGTTATGCTAATGAGCATAATGTGTCAGATTCAGTGTCAGGACGGTCATTGAAAGTCTTGCCAACTTTGTGACTGACAAAAGAAAATTCTTTTTGTGGAATCTTACTGGTTAGACATAATGTTTACGACCCAGTGTTTTAATTCTCAACAATTCACTCTGTAACTGCGGGTGTCTCAGTTTATGACTGGCAGACACTGAAGTAAACAGGCCCTTAGGACGGCATCCAAGCCATTGTCACAGTTCAGAGGAGTTTAATGAGGAGAATCCTGACACACAATGTGGATGAGATTATAAGGCTCCAAGACCACCAGTCTGTTTAAGGTTGGATAAACCGAACAGACACAAACGCACACTTGCATACTTACACAGAAAGCCAGTCTGTGTTTTATTATGCAAACTGTGTTGCAGTGAGTCTTTCACTGTCTGACTGTCTGTCTGCTTGTCAGGAAGAGACAATGAGGTTTAGCTGTGTGTCACAACAAAGAGGACGTTTTAAGAAAAAAAAAACAAGAATAAAAAAAGAGTGAAGTTTCTTTCTGTTGTGAAACGTTTTATTCATACATAGAACCTTTTTATAGGAAACACATTGTGTGATGGAGGTCTTTGTTTTTTGTTCTTTTTTGTTTTTTTTGTTTTGTGTTTTTTAATGAGTTTGTTTCTCCTGGTTGAATAATTGAAAGAATTCACGGACCAAAACATTTGGCAAGGAGCTAATTGTGGTAAAAAAACATACTTGAAAATACACTGATTTGGTTTTTACTCACAGACCGACCTCTGAAATTGTAGCTAATTATTCCAGACGCCATAATAAGATCACAACATATTTAGCACTTTAGAGCTTAAAGAAACAATAAAGAAAAAAGAAAGAAAAAATAGTTGAAAAGACATTGGAACAGTTAGTGAATATATACAGGTTATACGAGTTAAAAGAGGGCTGAAACACATCCTTCTGTGTAGCCAAATATTGAATCCATCAAGACACACTGTTTTACCTAAAAATTACCCAAACCTGCTATAAATATATCGCACAAATAGCAGCTAGCCGACCAGCTTTAAAGGCCAGAGTTATTGTTCATTTGAGGCCGTCTGACCTCACATGGGGTTCATGCCCACGTAAAGGAAGTGGTCACTCCGTTGCACATTTTCAAACACAAACTGCAGCTGTGTACATACGCTCACGCACAAAAGGGATGCACGCACACAAGCCAGTTGTGCTCTTCACACGTACATTCACCCTGCAAAGAGGAAGCGGTGCTTTGTCATTGCATCCAACACACGCAATCTTAGTCTCTCATCCAGCCACTCAAACCCAAACCAGAACTCACACACACGCACAGGGACAAATATACACATTTTCACACGCCAATCTGTCTTTTTCTAAACTTTCCTTCCCTTGACACCCACATCCACTTTTTTTTCACACTTGCAAGCTCAAGTGCACACAGGCACGCACACAGATAAACACACCATCACAATGGTCTGGTCCCAGGTTGTCTGATGTCTTCTGTTGGCGTTAAGAAAACACGGTGGCCATGGCCGGGCCTGACAAAAGACAAATGCACTTACAGAAAATTGGTCATTTATGTACATTATCATTTTAATTCTTCCTTTTTCTAAATAAATCAAAATGTCCTAAATGTGTTTAGAAGGGCAGTCCCATTCTCAAACAAAGGCATGCTCATTAAACATTTCCAATCTAACAACACCAGTGGCATGTAATGATGAAATAATAACATTTTAAAAGGTTTTCTTTTAAAAGGCTCTATATGTTTGCCCTCATTAGAGGAGAGACAGAAGAAGCATAGGAAGGGAGAGAAAGGAATGAAAATTAAAAGATGGGTCTGCTGTTAAACCTAGTTAGGTGTTACTGAGGAGCTCCTCAGATGTATTTATAGGTTACGCTTCTGTTGTTGTTAAGCTTTTCGTCACACTCAAGTTGTGCATGTCTTTACTGTTTCATAATTTAAAATGTAGCACTTCATAGCCTCTTTAACGTACCTATTTTTGTTTGTTTGAAGCTTTAATGGACATCTGCCTTAACGTTGTCTTAGTTATGGGATCCAAAAACACACGGAGATAAATGGATTGCATTCATGTTGCGCTGCTCTCTTCACCTTTGGCTTTTGTAGCTGGCTGCCGTCAATGAAGAACACGCAGCCCAAAGGGTACAGTACCTGAGGCAGCAGAGGGAAGTGGTTCTCAGGGAGGCAGACCGGGACCTAAAGACAGACAGGGAGAAAAACCAGATGCGTCTTTTACAGTGCCAGAGCCAAAGCTCACAGCTTCAGCAAAAGGTGAATATTTAAGTGTATCATTCAGTTTAATCTTCCATTTGCTGTCAATTTTCAATTTCTAAAAATGGGCTTTGTAAAGTATGAATAAAAACTGAATGAAATAGCTTGTAAAATCGATTAATCAACATTGTATTCGCAGCAGTAGCAGTAGTAATAGTTGGGACGGGGGCTCGTTTACTGCTGTGTGGCATCTGCTCTTCTTTTAAGAACAGCCCAGAAACATCTGTGAAATGTGGAGAGCAGTTGCAAGATCTTTGGGGGTTGAATGTCATCAGATTATTCTGTAATATAATTCTCTAGCTGCTCAATACCCTCATACCAATTCCAGACTCTTAAAATATGGAACCATGCTCTCATAATAGCTTCAGCATGATGTTTAGCATTTTTTTGTGCTAGGATATGCAAGTTCTTTCTTTAAAAAAAAATCTTCTGGTTGGGTTCTTCTTAGCATCTGTTTGGTATATTTTGCTCTATTGGTGTTTGTATTTTTAGCACCTATTGCATTTGCTGATGTACAGGTCCTTTATGTCATCGGTTTTTCAGACTTTTGCTGTAGTTTTCCAACTTTTTTGAGACATGATTGTTGGCCAACAATTAAAATTTAAGAAGAGTCAATATTTTTCCTGGAAAACTGTGTTATATTTTTATGGATAAATATTCAGTGTAAGGTCATTGCACATGGGATGTGTGTATGTCTATTATTCTTGTTTTTGTTCTCTCTCATAATATGCTGTCTTTCTGACTGTCAGCCTCATCACTTCCCTATACATCCATCTAATGTCTTCATACAGCTTTGCTAACTGAACAGAGTTCACCTGCATTACTTGACTATCTCCTAGCAACTTCCAAACGAACAAATAAGACATGTACTCTTTTTTCCTTTTATTTATAGCAAAATTGTTCAGCAGCAGTTCCATCTTGTAGTCATCTGGTCTGAATGCCAATGAGCCTAAAAGCTTGTTTCTGTGGTAAGGCTTATTATACGTCAGTTTGGTGTTAAGCATCAGATCAGAAAAACCTTTGTTTACAGTGGGGACAAGTGTGACGTTAGAAACAGCTGCTGCAACTGCCTCCAAGAGCTTGCCTCATCAGTCTACATCTCTGTCTTCTGTTCCGCTTTGGTACATGTGGTTATTTACCTTGCACGCCTTTAGCCTTCTTGGAGCACCCAGTTGCATGCAGACAGAATGATTGATACTGTGGTTTGCAGGATAGCTGTGACAGAGCGCCCTGTCAGACAGCGGAGGTGAACAGCATGCAACAACTGCATGCTAACACACTTGCTGTTTGTTGAAATAGATATCCACCCAGTATAGGGTCCTTGATTTGACTGGCAGCGTATTTCCATGGTATCAAATTCCCTGCTAACTCATTCAGCTCCAACTGTATATTTCTTGGGGAAAAAAACTCTACTTCCTGTGCAGTGTTGTCAGAGTCATAGAAAACACTTCATATAAGTTTTTAAAAGCTTAATTAAATCTTAATTTTCTTGTGAATTTTCTAAGAGGCTTGAATGTGTCAGTGTAGAAAAACGAGTAATAAAATACCTTCAAGTCTTTTGGTGCTGAATGCATGTCTAAAAGATTAACAAACTGTACTGATCTATTTACAAATATATTATGCCCACCCCCCAGTTGGAGCAGAGGGAGATGGAGATAGAACACCTGCGTGGGGAGCTGCAACAGGAAAGGAGGACGAGGGAGCAAGAGGGGAGGACGCACGATGAGGAAAGGAGGCGAGAGAAGGAGATGCGCCAATCAGAGGCAGAAGAATGGGGCCAGGCTAAAGCTGAGCTTGAGCTGATGACTGAGAAGAATGCTGAACTAATAGAAGAGGTGTGTGTTTGTCGTGGTGTGCACATATATGTTGCTGATGTTTCTCTAAACCGGGTGTTCAGTTGCGAAAGGCAGAGAAAGTGCATGTGAGAACAAAGTGATTTACATCTGTTTATTATATTCCACTGATGTGTTTCTGTGCCAACACCATTCAAACAAGGCTGGGTTACATTTAGGAAGTGTGTGTTTCCGTGAGTTTGATCGTGGATGAACAAATCGTAATAGTACGAATATGCACAGAAAGAGAGAGGGGGAGATAGACAGGATTGATATTGGCTGTGGCAGCAGAGTGTGCTGCAACGGATCCAAATACAGCTGCAGTAAATTGTGAGATAAAACCTAAAGTGCTACACAGAGGAAGCGAGATGGGGCGTACACATGAAGAGTCTGAATAGGGGGGGGGGGGACTCTGTGCATGTTTGTGTGTGAGGGAGTGACTGACAGAGGGAGAGAGAGAGGGAGAGTGTGAGGGGTCAAATTTTATGAGGGATAACAAAGACAGGACAGGATGGATGGCTTCCTAAACGCGTAAGCCACAGCAGCCTCGCTGGACTTTTACTGTGGATGTGTGTACTGTGCTTTTATCCCTACGAGTGTTGACACATGGGCTTCTGTCTGAGGCAGCAGTCAGGGAACACCTCAGCTATCTGACCACTCACACACACACAGACACACACACACACACACACACACACAAAGCTAATTTTGTTTGCATTCTCTTCCCTGTCTTCCCTCCAGCTCCATTTTCTTTCTTTCTTTTTTTCTTTGTCCAATATAAGTTGTGTTTTTCTTTTTCTTTTTTTTCATTTCTAAATGATAGTATTTATATAAATGTATTTATTTTCAGTTTTAAGCTGACTTGTTGCTATCAACTATTTGTGTGATGTTTTATGAAGCTGGTCAACAAATAACTTGTAGACAAAAAGAGAAAAGAAAACATATTCCCGTGTTGGAGCATTTTAATGGGCTCAAGCAATCCGCGAGCAACACGTCTGTCATCTTCTAGCTGATTATATGCTGCAACAGTTGAAATCCCCCTTGAGATTGGTAAAGTATTTCTCTATTCAATGAAAGCAGCTCAGTTTCTGCTGTTGCTCAGCTCCAGCTCAACCGCCTCTGTTCACCTCAATTTTCTCCTAATGGCTTTAAGGTTTTACACACTTGCATGACTCATGATCCTTTTTTAAAGAACCCTTCCTTACAATTCATTTGATCTCCTTCTGGCAGCTCATTTCCTATACATATGGGAGCAAGGCACTAAAGTTTTCACACCCAGCAGGAAAAGCAGGAAGGGAGAAAACAGCGTTTAGGTCACATCTTTATAACTGTGACAACTGTAGGTCGTATTTTCCCCTTCCTACATTTCTAATCTTCCCCCAAAAAAGGCCTTCTCTCGGAAATAGTCAAATCAAGAGGTACTCCAGAGCAATGAGCCTTTTTCTGTTTTATTTTGCTTAATTGCATTGTTTCTACACCCTATGTGTGAAATAACCAGATGTTCAACTTTCCATACTATATAGTCAGCTGAAGTATTCATTGTTCAGTTTACTGCACTGTTAGATAATGTGTGGCATATACACACATGGGCATGCGGCATATTTGAAGCAACATGTATTTGATTGTTTTCTTCATAACCTGGTGAAAATGCAGATTATTTATTTGAGTTTATAACAAAACATGATGAGAAATAACAAAGCAGCAAGTGCATTTTGGTCTTTCAAAAAAGTATTTTCGACTAAATCTGGGTCTGTTTTATTTTATTTTTGCCATAAAAAGGAAAAAAAAACAAAGAAACAAAAAAAATCATGGTAAATCTTGTATGACATGGAAGTCACGTTCATTTGCAAAACTGCTCCTAGAAATTCCAAAACCAAATAGAAATGGTATTTTGATATATATGAGGGACAAAAGATGCCCGGGAATGATTTGCATCTCATTTCTTTTGTGAGATGGCTCCCAAAAGCCGCTGGGTAATCACACTGTTGCTCTAATAATTTCTTTTGACCGCTCCTTTGCAATTTCTGTCTCCATTTTTGGTCCGAATCACAGTCTGATACAGGTTGTGAGGTCAAATGATTGCATCCTGTCTTCTTGTCATCGTTGGTTCGTCACTTCATGCCCCCCCCCCCCTGCATTTCCTCTCATTTCTCCATTCATCCAGCTGAGCTTTAGAGCGCTTTGTTCTGACAGCCCTCTGACAGCCGTCTCTCTCTCTGTCCTCTATCCGCCTCTTTAGCTGCCTCTCTTTCAGTGCTTGACCAGATAGGTTCAACCAGTTCAAGGTGCCCTGATGCCAATTTCACAGCTGACATGCTCTTTTATGTCAGCAGTGGACCTAAGGCACAGAAGCTCCTTCCCCCCACCATCCTCATCTATCTGTTCTTTCTCATTACATTTGAACAGGCCTTTTTTCCCCATGCTGTGGTGGTAGTTAAAATGTATCAGTCAGTGTAATCCGTCCTCCTTTTTTCTTTCTTTCTTCTTTTCCTTCTGTCTTGTGTCTCTAATGACCTCTCTCAGCTGTTATCAAATTTAGACCCGGGCTTTCATCATCATTTTTGCTCCGAAAAAACTTCTATTGATCTATTGATGTTTCTGTGTGCCGGTTCGAGATAACCAGGATTTGATCATGACCTTGTGATATCACTCTGTTGCTAAGCTACGGTTTGGATGTCTGAGCAGTCCTCCTCAAATGTTTGCGAGCATCTCGGTGACTTTTTACCCACCAGCTTCTCCAGACAACAAAGGGACGAACATTCTGTTGGGAGTGGAGTGTTCTATTGAAGAGTTATCAATAAAACCGAGGTCAAAAACACTCTTCATCGTTCATGTATGTGTTTATATATATATATAATACAGTATATATATATATATATATATATATATATATATATATATATATATACACACACACATATATACACTTTTGAGATTGAAAATACTAGGATTAGGTGTGTAGAAGTGAACAGAAAATCTCTTTTTTTGTTTTTTGTTCTGTCTCTACCCACACCCAGATTCCACATTTGTCTTCAAGTTGTCTGTCTCTATCAATCTCTGCCCCCTCCAAGGGCCCTCCTGTCCCCTTTTTCCCACAAAAAAGACTGCAGTCATGCAACACGCACAAGTTTATAAATCTATATGTGCGCGTGTGCTTTTAGGTGTGCAGGGCCCTGTCATTGCACACTCGAAGGCCGTGTTTTATGTGTGTGTGTGCTGCCAGTGGAGGGGGCTTTACAGTGCAAGATTAAAAGCAGTGGCACTGTGAGGTTGCGTGTGACTTACATCTAATAGCCTTGTAATCCTGCTCTCTCTATGGGCCCCTTATGATGGCTGACATGCACGACATCACACATATACAAAGACACGCACGCACGCACACACACACACCACAAGTGTGATCTAACACATGCCTGGTATATAAACTTTGAGGGGAGGAAAATTCACACAGCAAGTCTTTCATACACACACTTAAAGGAAATGTATACAGAGTGTCACACACACTCATAGTAATGACAAACAATGGCATAAGGTGTTGATGCACTGCATGTGGGACGTGGACATTGAGGGACATGGGCATTTACTAATGTTTATATATATATGTGGGAAGTTTAGACCTATACAGAGGAAAGTTTGGGAACAAATTAAATGGGGAGCAGGGGCATACACTCAGTTAGTGTTATCCGTCTTTGTCATTTGTATTTTCCTCATTTAACTGTGAGGACAGGTACGCTCAGTGTTTAAATAGACGGCAGTTGAAAGGTATGCTTCATGTTTTCCACCTTAAAAATCACAGCAAAACTTTGGCGTAGGTTGCTGTAGAGATGGCTGTTCCATTAGCTGTGTGTCATTCTGACATTCAAACATAATTTGGGAAGCTAAATAATTTTTCTTCCTTTTTTTACTTTAACCCCCCCTCTAGTGAGACACAAGAACTAGCAAGTGGAAATATAGAATTCAGTCCAGTGCACTCAGGCTTGATTGATAGGACCAACGGCTTCTGGTGGCTAACCTTAAATTGCTAAATAATGCAGGTATTGAATTTAGGAATCTTCCACCCAAGCTTCTGTAATTATATTCAGCCAAATTCTGTAATTATCACTTGTGGTCTCAAATGGAAACCACACAGTCTACTAATCCACCCCCCCAGTGCCACACTCTGTGTTGTTTTAAAAGCTTTCGTGCCATATGTGAGAGTCAAGATTTACAATTAGTGTGGTGTGAACTGCAATAAGAGCCCACACAGACTCCCAGCAGACATCTGCCTGACTCTTCCATATCGGTTAAATTCCAGCATTTAGGTTTTCACTTAAGTATTGTGGCATGCAAACAGCACGTGTCGGGTATCAAATGGCAGATGGTTGCAATGATGTAAACCTACAATTGGCACATGCTTGTAATTAGATGAACCAGTGAACAGTATTTCTGAGCACGTGCCATGCTTACGGGATGGGACACGATGAAATCACAATGGAGGACGGACCTTTTTATTACAAATTTCTGGCCTGGGGCGTCTCTCGTCCCGAATTGCCATGTGGCAGACGACAGTTTTTCCTAATCAAACTTGAATTTATCAGAGAAACCTTCGTTCAGTCTTGTAAACTGAATGAATGGTGTTCCATGTTGCTTTCAGTCTTATGATAAATTCTTCCAGCTCACAATTTACTCCAAACTCTCTGCTTGTGCGTTTGTCGGAGTGGATGTCTGCGTTTTTTTTTCTGCATCCCTTTTATTCTTTACGTGCTGCTGAACAGTGTGTGCTATGCACTATTTATACTGCGTCTCTGTGACTGTGTTAGGGTAGCTTGCCTGTTGGGTCTAGTTGACCGAGACTCTTTGTGCCACTCTCATAGTGTCATTGAGTTGCTCAGAATGGTCACCTTTCTTTTCTTTTTCTTTTTTTTTTACACTGCAGCAAAATTGATTTTCAGATTGAAGTGCTGAGTTACTGCAGTTTCTTTTACTCCACTCCTCTGTCGCTTCCTAAGTCTCCATTATCTCCCCGAGCATAGCAACTTCACCTTCATTTTGACCTCCACTGAAACACTTGAAAGCGGTTTTGGCAGGTTTTGGCAAAAATAAACATTTTCATGAGTTAGCTCCCATTTAATTTGTGTCCTTGGTTACTCACTTCATCTGTGTATCCTCACAGAGTTTCAAAATGCTGCACTTTAACCATCTGGCTGCTCTGATTAATTGAACGGTAAATTATCAGTCTTAATAATACTTTTTCCTCAGAGTGTTAGACACGCATAAAATCCCCAGGTCTACCTAGGACCGGCAGGCAAATGAATGGAAAACAGTCTGTTAATATTTACGCAGCTTTGTCATGAAATGAAATCACTTCCTATGACAGTAAACAATCCTGTCTCCGTTTTTTTCTCCATTTCATACAAACACCTTGTTCAGTTTGGTGGTGAGGTGCCAAAAAAAGGCAGCTGGATAAAGGTAGTAAACAACAATGTAAACAATGCAGGATCTAGTTGTCCTGAAAACTGGCTTTAGGGAGATTTTTGATGGCTGTGTTATACAGAAACCTGTCTGCAAAGAAAACTACAAAAACATTTTTTTCCCACATTATCCCAGATATGGTCACAACTTGATCTAAAAACAGATATTTTCAGTTTTGGACACTGATACAAATATAGAGTGAAATAAATAAATGAATAAGACTAATTGACCTTTGGTGAACACTGCCTATCATCTAATGGCTGCTGCGACAAGTCTCACTGAGATTTGGAAGGGCATAGAAAATAAATAGATGTATGTTCAAATCATATAAATCATTTAGATATCTTGTGTTAGAAATGAAAAAGTTTGTAGTTCTGCTGGCAGTGAGAATAAGCTCTGAAATTAACAAAGGCAAATAAGCTGATTCTGACAAATTGTTTACAATTTAGTTAAACTGGCTCAACTAAAATAGTTATCTTTATCCTTAATAATCTAATTACTATTATGATATGATTTAAATATTTGATAGACAAACTATTATTAATAAAACTCACATAAAATATCTGGTAAGTAAGGGTTTTCATCCTTTCTCCTGGATGGGATGGAAACAAAACACCTGATTACTTCAGGTTCTTCTTTCACCATGCCCCTGCTCTGGGTTAATCTGAACATTGAGACTCATTTTCATTGTTGCCTGGTCATGTAACTCTTAATGAAAAGCGTCCAGGTTATATATGTTCATGTTTAAGCTCTCTGCCTCATCCCTTTACAGGTGACATCTCTCCAGGAGACAGTTCGGAGGGAGTGCGAGGAGAGGGAGGAGCTGACTGCTGCTTTGTCTCGAGCTCAACGGGAGCTCTTTGAACAATTATCTGCAGCATCTCAGGGGGGCTCCTCCAGGCCTCCTCCAGACCCCATGGAGAGACAAACACCCCCAGGGAACGCAAGTTCTAATCTCTTTAGTCAAGCCAGAGTTCCTCTGACTCGCTCTCCAACCCCTCCAAACACGCTCCGCCCCTCTCCTGCCCTCACAGACAAAGTCAGAGGCCTGGACACAGAAAGAGGAGGAGCGGGGAGGAGTTTGGAGCCCTGGAGTGGCGGTGGAGGGAAAAGATGGGAAGGGACGCTGCCGAGACTGAGAGCTAACAGCACAGTGAGTGAAGTCAAATGTAAAGTGAGGTCAGTGACGGGGAGAAAATAGAAACCGTTAAGAGTAATCTGAAAGAACAAGATAATAAATGTTTACTGCACCCAAAGGCAAAAAAAAACTCTCATTGGACTTTTTGTCTTTTCGAGTCAAATATCCTTCCAATCAACTCATCGAAAAGTGACCCACATTCACGTTCACACATCAGCAGATCCCAAAGCGCAACCTCTGAACGCTTTTTAGGCTGAACTTGACTCACACATGCATGGGTCGTCTTTTAAACTCATTCCAGGGTTCACAGACACACAAAGGACTGAAGGTGCATGACAGCAGGTTCCGTTACCCCGTTTCCCAGCCATCTCCCCAGAGGCTTTGTGTGTTCCTGACATCATTCACTGTGTTGAAGGCCTTTCCACCCCCCTTCCTCCTCCTTTCTCTTCCTCTTCATCCACATTTGGGATGAATTGGTACAATAGGGGTAAAGCATGAAGTGTGTGAGGCATGGAACTCATTTCCCCGCTTAGGGGTACACATGCACATGGGCTTTTGATTCAACTTCCCCGCTTTCCCCTCTTCAAGTCCATCTGCGAGACAATGCGCACATGCTTTGCACTCACATGAAAGGTGAGAAAACATTATTTTATCCTGGCAACATTTCCTGTTTGCAAAACACACACGCACATGCTTTATCTGTTAAAACCTCTGGCCCATGTGCCGAGGACGTTCGGATGTCCGTATTAGTGACATTAGAAGGGACTTTGTCTTCATATTTCTTACCTTTTTATATTTATCCCCCTGGTTTAAATCAGATATTTTCTCCTAAACAAAAAAGTGGTGAATGTTTTTTTCTCTCAACATAAAGGCCTGGATTTTTTTTCTTCCAACTGACACATTTTGTTTTGCCAGATTCCAAATCAAGTCTTAATGTGCAACAAGTTGTAGATATTGCAGTGACCAAAATAACACTTCATATTAGTAACTTGTTGGTAAAACTACTTCTTGTTTACAGGGAGTTATTATTTCCATCCCAACATCACGACAGCTCACTTTTCTTTTTATATAATTCAAAAAGTACCAATAAGCATAACTGTTCATTCCTGTTTTTGGAATCAACAGTCAAGAGCTGATAAAACAATCTTCTAGGTATGCTTACTCACTTTTTTTTTTATCACATCACATGGTCCCCATCAGTAGAAGAATGCTTGCTCAGATGTCATGGAACTTCACGAGTTTTATTTTTCCATTATCCGGAGTACTTTCGTTCTAAGTTGCCTTTAAGACTTAGCTTGACAGCTCAGACCTGGCACTGTGCCTGGATGATCTAATCACATGTGGTCAGGTCCAGAAGAAATGCATCACTCACCTCAGCCTGCAACTGTGCGCCGAAAAGTGTGGGAGTCTGTGACCTGCAAATATCACAACCCACTTTTGACCTGCTTTAAATTTTCTAGCATGTTTGACCAACAGCTTTTTCAGTGTGTAGTTTGGACGGGCGATTACTTCAAACTGTTGGCACAACAACATGCTGCAAATGGCTGAAATGTAAGCAAAAGAACTAGAACTTGGAGCCAGATACAGAAAACTATGCACTTTCTTTAGAAAGAAAAGAAACGTCTTACTTGATATAGTTCTGTTTCATGTTTCTTAATCTTGGGCCAGGAACATAACAAAAAATGTTAAATCGGGGGAAAACATCACAGATGTGATCAACAAAGAACACTGCAGAGAAATAAAATGTGAATTATTAAAGGTGAAAGATACATCATTACTCAGTTACAGGTAAAAGGAGCTTTTGATCCCAGCAGATTGACACAAGTCATCGTGTGAAGACATCATGCTGAACCGCTGACTATGATAATCCCTGTTCTGAGTGGCTGTTCTCTGGAGCATTTATCTTTGGATAAAGACAGGTATAAGGATCTGTTTTACAAACCTTTCAGGGCTTCTTTTACAAATGTGAAAACTGTTTTTTTATATAAATATATATAGGGAACCACACAAGAATTAAAATGGTTTTTCTTCTGGAATACTCTACATATCGACATGTAATTAAGTGGTAATAGTTGAGAATGTTAAAACTTAACAGTATTGCTTCAGATAGCATTAAGAGCAACGTCGGCCAAGCTCTGGCTTCAAAACACCTTCCTTTTTATTTAAAATGACTAGATCAATACATGTCCTGTCAAGCCATTCTTTTTTCATCAACATGTTCCAGTTCAGTTCAGTTGTGCTGATGATCCTTTTTCTAAATAATTAAATTATTGAATCGAGTTTTGACAGGTTAGGTGAAAACTCTCCTAGTCCACCATCTTCTCCGAGTGCAGTCAGTTTACAATCTAGTTGGCCAGAACAAAGTTTTTACATTCATTCAGGTCACAGAAGCATCAAAATCCAGCATCTAGAGGGGAAAAATACCTGCCATGAAACAGGGGGTCTTTCAAACTAAGGATGACATGGGCCTTTCTTTCAATCCTTGTTTTAGGTCCCTTAAAGTTTTGTTGTATGACAGTCAGAAGTGCTCTCCCTTCTCCTTATATCTCACAGCTTCACTCTGGTCTGACCACTTACATGTTCTTTCTGTCTCTCTGAAAATACAAAGCCCTCCTGTTTTCCGTCTCTCCCTCTGTACCTCTGGCACACACATGAATCTGCCTCTGTGTCAATATTCTTTTAATCTCTGTGCCCTTCTTTTGGTATTCAACCCCTTTGACCCCGTTGCTAAAAAGCAATTCCCTCCCAGCCTCTCCTCCTCAGCCATCCACGCTTTCACTTTATTTTTGATCCAGCCGGCGCCTTCTTTCATTCCTCTCTCTGCTCTTTTACTGGGCCTTTTTTCCTTAGCTAATGCCCTTGCTTTGTAGCCCTTGACTCTGTGTCCTTCTGTGTGTGTTTGGAGCAAGTGTGTGAACTAGATCCGCTTTAAATAGATGCAACTCCTCAAAACTCTCTCTGCATCTCGCAACACACAAAGCAGGCACGGGGCATGCAAACCCCATTAATTTCACACGAAAAAAGATTGGATTGCTCTCAAACATTCAAATTTAATCACCCTCAACAAATACCAAGGCACCTACACACGCCAGCATTCATATGTACAAACACGCATGCTACGCGCACACAGAGGGATTGTGATCACCCCGCAGTAATTATCATAGTAGGGCAGGCATGCACACGTGTCCCCCGGGAATCTGTGCTTGTTGCTTAGTTTTACACACACGCTCTGGGGAGTGGCGTGTGTGTATAACTAAGCCCTTGTTCATCACTGGGTGTCCCTGAACGCCTTCTCCCGCGTCTTTATGGTCATTTTGGAATTCTGCCGTCCCACGAGCCTCCCACACCCTATAATTAGTGTCACCCGGGCAACCAGAGAAAGAAAGCTCAGTATTCTTGTTGTCTAGGTAACTGCGTAAGTGCAGGCCTGGGGTGCTGGTTGGAGGTGTTGGTTAACGACAGGGACGCTGAGACTTCAGTTTTGCCACTTCACGTGGACTCCCAGTAAAAGGGGGGCAGGTAAACGTCTGTGTGAGGGCGCCGGTCAATGGCACTCCTGTGCCACATGGGACCGCCAGCAGCTTATGAAAGTAGACTGATATGTTTGCATGAATTCTACTTACAACAACAAATAAGCAGCCATGGCCAGATAAAAATATATGTGGATCAAGAGGAAATTATATGCACTTTGGCTCCAACTGACCGCCACATTTCCTTCATTTGTACCTTCAAATGCCTGCAGACCTGAAGGGAAGAAAACTCCTTTATACTGCAAATTCCCCCCTGCGCCCAAATGTTAAGAATATAGATGGATCATACATTTTTCCAAAATGTAAAATATAGAAGATAATAAAGAATACCAAAAAAGAATTTGTCACACAAATGGAGATACAGTAAATTATACAATTTACTAAAAGCTAAAAGTGGTACCCTACATGTCAGTTACATTGGCAGCATGATAATAATGTATTAGTAATAGTTGCCTTAACATTGATGTTACACAAGGGACTAATTCCAAACTTCTGATGGTTTGAGCATAGTTTAGGGGCCCCTGGATAATATAATAGCTCTTCACCATCTGACACACAGGTAAACCAGCAGACATGTTTATGAAAGAGGATGGAGCCAGTTCTTGATAATGACATAGATGTAGGTATGTAATGGCCTTGCAACGCCAGGCTGACCATTACATGTCACTGTAAGACAACACCAGGTGATTACTTCATGATTCCTGCTCTTCCTTTGGATCACAATCTTACTGACTGGTGGACCTGTACTCCCCTCTGCTGTCCATTTGGATTAACTGCAGGGCTTTGGGTCATAAATATGTGTGAGTTTTGTTTTTACGTGAACACATTGTCCCTGGTACAAACTGTTCCCTTGAAGCCTTGCATCTTTGATACAGTTAATCATTGTTTTAAGATCACAGAACATCTTAAACAAAATGGATGCCATCTTAAATATGTCAAAAGGTGAATTTTTAAAACAGTGTTTACTTATTCTTTGTACACTTTGTGTAATATACGTTATCTGGTGTATACATATGTCAATTCATGAATTAGTTCTCATAAATCTCTCCTCTGATATAATCTCTACATCATTCATTGTTGTTTTCATTTTTTTCTCTCATTTGATTGCGGATGGATATGTTCCAAACGTAGCAGTGAAAAGTCAGGACTTTCCCGTAAGATACGTCACAGCAACCACATTTGAAATTACGCGTTTCCTCCTGCTGCTCTTGTGTAACGTTGGACATGTTAGTAGGCATATAAATGTACAGTGGTGTGTCTTATTTTCAAATATGAGACTTGTAAAGAAAAGGTGCGCCAACAGTGAGATAATTAATCAATTATTTAATTATGATATATCATACTGAAACGCAAAATCTAAGAATTCCAGTATTCAACACAACACTTGTGATTAACAACTGATTTGTTGTGGAGATGATTGTGATAGTTTTCTCGTCTGAAATATTTTGTGATTGGATACGTTTACTTGCTTGGAAGCACGGAACATTTGTTATTAAAAAAATAAAATATATATTTTGGGTTCAAAGGAATGGATTAATTTGTTAAACGGGTATTCTTCAGTTGGGTTTAAATCCGCGTATATGATTTTGCGGTGTGTCATACAGCTTGTTAAATACGATAAAAACTAGAATTTAAGTACATTTGCATAAATCTATGTTCGTAAAACTATTGAACTAGGACTGCTTAATGATTCAATATTGCGGAGCTAGTTACCACCGCGGATGTGCACACTTCGTATTTAAAGAGGATGATGACGTCACGTGCTTTGTCACGGTCTACCCTGCTCCGCCATCGGTTTGTCGAGGCTGGTTGAGCATTAGCTGCTAACATTTGTGTATCTGGTTAAGATGGCCGCAGGTCCTCTCTCTGTATCTTCCACCGCATCTAACAACAACGATGGTATTCTCATCGGTGATAAAGTTTACTCGGAAGTGTACCTTACGATAGACAACTCGCTTATTCCAGAGGAGAGGCTCTCCCCGACTCCGTCGATGCTCGACGGCCTCGACCTGAATACCGAGACCGACCTCCGCATCCTTGGATGTGAACTGATACAGTCCGCGGGTATTCTTCTCCGGTTGCCACAGGTACAGTCTTAAGATTAAAGGCAAAATATATATTTTTCTGATTGACGAGTCGCAAGTTGTAATTGTACGGGCGTGTTGTCTAGAATATGTTGCGGCCTCGATGTTAGCAAGTTGCTATTAGCTTTTTAACGTTGGCGTGGTGGAGTTAAAATGGCGGCGGTCCATTGTGCAAGGTTAGGCCATGTTATATAAGAGCTTATTAAAGAAAACATGTAATTTATTCCTTTCCACAGGTGGCAATGGCGACGGGACAGGTTCTTTTCCATCGATTTTTCTACTCCAAATCTTTTGTCAAACACAGCTTCGAGGTAAGTTTCCGGTCCTTGGGTGATTCAGTTTCGGGTACTCAGTGATGGCTCAACGTTGTGACTACGTCTGTGGCAGCCATATTGTCTTAGAGGTCTTGGGTAGTTCGCTAAGAAAACACCAGGGAGAAATTGCAGAAAATGCAGTGAGAAAGCTAGGTGTGTAAACACTGCTTTAAAACATTATTGTTCTAATCTTGACCGAGTCCTCCAAGATGCAGTTATTGTAGGTGTGGCTGTATGGGAAATATTTTTAAATGGTCAGGAAAAGTTTATTTGTAACACTTATTTGATGAGATCAAACTACTTCGAACAGTTTCAAATTGATAAAAAACACAGTGAATCTGAAAATAAAAATGTAACTACTGTTCCTGTGCTGAAGCTTGTAGAAGCAAGATATTTCTTTAGGATATCAGAGGTTATTTGGACTGAATCTGAGATCTAGGGGTTGTGGCTGCACTGAATTGATGGGACTTAATGTCTTGACTGTCAAGATGACAATGAAAGTATATTTCAAATGTGACTGCTCTGTTTCACCCTTTGGTAACAGTCAATTTACAAGAAGAGCACACATACGTATTACAAAGCCTCTTATTTGTCATCATGACATGTTTCCCACATTGCCTAGCTCTACTGATCACAATTGTTACATTAGTACACTAATTTTTTTCTTCAAATGTGTTGTCTTTTTCAGATTGTTGCTATGGCTTGTATCAACTTAGCCTCTAAGATTGAAGAAGCTCCCCGACGAATACGTGATGTCATCAACGTTTTCCATCATCTGAGACAGATCAGAGGGAAAAAGTAAGTTGAAAGATAGAATCTTCTCGTCTTATGGATTTGTATGTACCTGTTACATGGAATCTGTTTTGTTTGTTGCAAAATGTTGTTTTCTTACTGTAAAAGTGCTCTTCTGTTTATTCATGCACTCTAAACCATTTAAAAACTTTTCATTTCCAGCTTCACTGGTAGTTTCAGAAACATGATTGTCTACATTTAACATCATTTTGACATCACTGAAAGTTTTGTCAACGAGTTCACTTTAAAAGAACTCATATTGTAGAGAAGATGAGGCATGTCTATTTTATGTGCCTCATGTCTTTATGTCAGCATTTTAGTCCTTGGCATTAACTTGGATTCTTTTTTCCCTTGCAACCAACTAACAGCGACCAGCTACATTTACCAAAGCCTGGGTGATGTGGAATGGTACGTAAGATGAAGCAGTCGGCATGACAACCATGATGCGAAGGGGGTCTCTGTCCTTCCCCCAGGCCCACCCCACCCGCTCCTATGGGAGACTCCCGTGGTCTGAGCCACCGCGGGGCACTGGGATCGGGGATGACAGGTTGGCCGAAGGTCCTTGGCCCACGGGGCACCTTGAGGACTCCTGTGGTTCAGTCTTAAGCTCTGGGTATCTGTCAATCTGCAAACCGTTGGGTAATGTAGATTTCTTCTCTGACTGCTCCGCACCATGCATTTTGCATAAGCAACAGCCCATTCACCCACTGTACCCCATGGCTTTTACAGAAATATCACCTTACCTGTTGAACTGGGTGTTAATAATTGGTTGTTTGAGGGCAGTGTGAGTTGTTCTGTTTGGAACTATTGCATGCAGAGTGTAGCCATAAGTTTTTGTACAATATACAGTCAATACGAGTTTCAGGTCTATATTTTTCTATAATGCAGATTTAAGTGAGTTGTGGGTGCAATTTTGATCATTGAAGTGTTACTTTTTTGCATGAGCTGCGTAGCATGACCTTTCCCTGCATCATTTTGTCTTTGAGACAGCAAAACGATGGATTTTGATAAGTGAAACATGGCTTTTCAGATTTAATGCTAGCCTTGTATAGTAGTGTAGTTTAGTTCATAGCAAGGGAATTGTTTAGGATTGCATGACCCAAAATGTTGTTTTTTTTTTTTTTTTTTTTTTAATAACTCACTTGAAGCGGCGTGTGAATAACAGGGATGGTGAACCTTTCAAATAGTTTTTTCATTTAGTGTGCTGGTAAACTTGACCTACTTTAGTTCAGTTGTCCACTTTGCCTCAGTGTAATGCATCAGTGAGTGAACAATACTTTCCCTCTTGTCTGTGTGAGAACAGAAGTGTTCCTATGTTTTAAGTTCAAGTTCATGCATTTGGCAGACGCTTTTATCCAAAGCTACTTACAGGGTAGGGAGGAGCTGTATTGGCCGGGAATCGAACCCAGGTCAACTGCTTGGAAGGCAGCTATGCTAACCACTACACCACCACTGTAGTTATAAGGAGCCAAACCAGGTTGATATTTCTGTTCAAGCTGTGGTAAGGGGTGTTTGAGGGGGGCATCAACAGATCTCTGAATCTTCTCACTGGAACCACAGGAGTCAACAAACCCCAGCATACTGTCAGGCATGCTAAGTGTAACTTGTTGCTTTTAGTTGGTTGAAACGGGAAAAATGAAAAGAGTGCAAGAATTCAAAAGGGCACTGTCTTCTCTTTACGTTTACTACGAAAAGGGGAAACAATGTTTTATTTTGATTCCCTTTAAAACTAGGACTCCAAGTCCATTGATACTAGATCAGAACTACATAAATACCAAAAACCAAGTCATCAAAGCGGAGCGGCGGGTCCTGAAGGAGTTGGGCTTCTGTGTGCATGTCAAGCATCCACACAAGGTGAGTGGAACCCACAGCTTCTGTTTACATTGACTAGCATAGATATAACAAAGCTAACGGTGTATTGTCAAATGAGGCTCTACTGAATGTTCCAGCTTCTCAGTTTTGAGTTTGGACACTGATACTGACACTGATACTGTTTTTCTGTTAACATGGAGGTAAATGTGTAATTCCAGATTGTCGTCTTATATCTTCAAGTCCTGGAATGTGAGAAGAACCAGACACTGGTCCAGACTGCCTGGTGAGTGCCTTTGCAGTGTCTCAGTGTCTATCCCCACAGCAGCAACCTGTGTCATGTCAGCAAGTGCCACCAGACCTGGGCTTAAGATGAAGTTGCAAAAGTTTCAAATGGCTGGTTTCTGCAGAGCACTTGATATGTCTCCTGGAAACACAGGAGAACCCCTCTTGTGGAAATGGGATCAGTGATTTATTTATTTTTTTCCCCCAAGTGCTCATGTTGGAAAGTACAAATTTGAAACGTATTCAACTACCATTTCGCCCAGGTCTGAAAGCAACATTCCCTCACTCCATTTGAGCCCTTCCACCTTTTTACTTTATTTTATTTTTGGATGGAGCAATTTGTTCTTTTTGCAAACCTGCTACTCGTCTCACTCTCTTGTCTGCCCTTACATGGCTTGCTGTGAAGTCTGTTTTATGTGCGGTGCCCATGGAACTTGGTTTAACTTTGTCCTTTCTCTCTACTCTTTGATTAAAGGGTAGTCCATGCTGGTAAGTCACATAAAGAACCTCTGAACTCTGCCTCCTCCAACCACATGACCACAGGAAGCTCCCCCCTTTGGCTGGCTGCCCCTCTCCTGACAGCCAATCCCAAAGCCGAGATTCACTGAAGGGGGCGGGCGGGCCTTTCCCAACAGCCACCATCGTCTTGTTTTCTCTTGGGTGTCAAAAAGGATTTGTATTTTTGGTCTTGCTACAAAGGTTCTCAAATGTCATTTCTTTTTTGCCTAGTAGCTACAGATAGATTAATATTCTATCTTGTTTTAGTTTACTTACATTTATCAATGAAGTAAACTTATCCAGATTAGAATTTTGCCCAGCTTACCTGCCTATTTATACATTTACAGTAGTGCTGTATCATCCCCAATTGACATGGTGTCCAGACGTGTGTCTGTCTTTCAGGCTGATCCAGTTCTCAGATTTTGGCTCCAAGGACCTGTCTCACCCATGCAGCTGTCACAATCCAACAGCCAAATGTTTCACTTGTAGTGTTGGTGTAGCAACTTCACACTAACCTGCTCGTTGGTCTTTTTTCTCTTATTGAGGCAGATCAGATTCAGAGGTGTCTGTATGGCAGGTTTTAACTTTAAAGCTTAAAGCAGAAAGCTTAGACTGGAGCAGTAAGCGCATGGTGTAAAGTGTCCCAGTTTTAAGGAATATGACTGGCTTTAGCTTCGCTGGAGTGTCTTTGGTTCAGTTAGATCATAAATTAATTTTTAAAAAGTGGTTTAACCGTCTTGTTTGTTTGTTTTTCTCCCACGCTTTCATTTTCTGATTTCTATGTTTCTTCAAAACATAGATGCTCACATCATCCTGTATTTGATTGATCTCATCCTGGCAGCTTTGTCCCCTCATGCCCTCATAGGTGCTAATCTCATTTATTGATTGTCCTAGACAACCCCTAGACACATAATCCGTCATGTAGCGAAGGGATTCCGCTCAGTCTGAGAGAGGAGGCACTGGTCTGTGTCATGCAGACAAACACTCATTCGTCTGCGTTTGTTTTTGGAAAAGAATCAACAGCTTTTGCCTGAGGAGAGTACGGTCACTGCTATGCTTGATCGTATGTGGAAAGTCACAGTGCTTCAGCCTCAATGTAAGGGAGAATTTCTTTAATCACTTTGGAGCATCGGGATGCTCCTGACTTAAAAGACACACCTTGCATGGCCCATACATGCTGTGCTCCCTTATTCCCCTCAGAAAGGGTGCGCTGCTTTCTAGAGGAATGTTTCATATCTGTGTGCCTGCATGTCCCCTGACTCACACGGCATGTCGCTGTCTACCATCACTAGACGTAAGCTAGCTGTGGAGTAAGCTAGTCGTGGTGGCTCATCAGGGGGGGCCTTTTTGTTTTCTTAACCTAATCTTATGTTGCTTTCATTGTGACTTGAAGCCTCTTAACGGATGCCCTGGAGAGAAATGGACAAAGTTAAACGTATATCATGATAAAAATTGAAATGTTGGTTGGTGGTGGTCCAGTATACGAAAGGAAGTTCAATAAACACTCAGAACTTTGGTTCGTGCTCAGAAGTGACCCACCTGCAAGTTCCTGCTAAAGTTGTTTTTTAGTTTGTAAAAAAGTCCTGTTTTAGAGTTGGCACCAAAGCATAAAGAATCTGCATCGTGGTGAATCATGTGAGTGGGATTGGTCTGGAGAGGATGCTATGTTTTTTTCTTTTGTGTTCTGTCTGCCCCCGTAGGAACTACATGAATGATAGCCTGAGGACAAACGTGTTTGTGAGGTTCCAAGCTGAAACAATCGCCTGTGCCTGTATATACCTCGCTGCCCGAGCCCTGCAGGTATCAGGAAATATTCACTTCAAACTCTTGGTCATGGTGTTTTTAATCCAATGTCCTAGCTTCAGAGGTCAAAACTTGTATGTGTTTCCTAGATGCCTCTGCCATCCAAACCTCACTGGTACCTGCTGTTTGGAGTGAGTGAAGATGAGATGAAGGAGATCTGCATCACCACCCTTAAACTGTACACCAGGAAGAAGGTAATTTCTTTGAGTCATGGGTGAAAGCAACGGCCAGTTCCAACAGCAGCAGAAATGTGTTTTGAGATTTACAGGTTGTGTAAACGTCCGCTTCCTTCAACAGCCTAACTATGACCAGCTGGAAAAAGAGGTGGAGCGGCGGAAGGTGTTCTTGGCTGAGGCCAAGCTGAAGGCCAAAGGCCTGAACCCTGATGGTACTCCTGCTCTGTCGACACTCGGTGGCTTCTCTCCAGCCTCCAAACCCTGCTCCCCAAATGTGGTCAAAGTAGAGGAGAAGACCCCCAATCCCCAGACCATCAAAACCATCAAGAAGGAACCGGACAGTCGGGCTCAGGTCAACAAGAGTCCCTATAACGGGTAAGAAAGGAGGCAGAGGTGCCAGCTGTTTGTGTGACATCAGATAGTGTGTGAACATCATGAACACACCTGCTGTCGCCCCTACCTGCAGGGTGAAGAAAGAGGTGAAGGCTGGAAGGAACAGTCGGAGTGGAAGCCGTTCTCGTTCAAGAACGCGGTCCCGGTCTCGATCCCGCTCCCCCCGCCGACAGTAAGTGTTCTGTTCCTCAGACTCCTGATGCTTTGGTGTTGTGTATAACATGCTGCCTGTCCCCCCCCACTGCTCCCACAGTTACAACAACAGACGCAGTCGCTCAGGGACCTACAGCTCTCGCTCACGATCTCGCTCTCACAGTCGCAGCCCATCGCCTCGCCGGCATCCGCCCTCTCCGCTCCTCCCCCACCTCAAATCCAAGTCCAGCCATCACAGCAACAGCGACTCCAAGCTGAGTGGACGTCACAGCAACAGCGGCGGTGGAGGGTCAGGGCACAAGAGGAAGCGCTCCCGGTCGCGCTCCCGCACGCCTGTCAAAGTGGACAGAGACAGGGACAGAGAACGGGACCGGGAGAGAGACCGGGAACGCAGCTCCTTTGATCTCTCCTCAAAGAAACACAAACACGAGCGAGGTGTCGGACATCGAGGTGACCGCAGGGAGAGGGAGAGGTCTCGGTCCTACGACAGGGAAAGGGACAGGGAGCGCAGCCACAAGGGCAAACACCACAGCAGCGGCGGGCACTCAGGACACAGCCGCCACCGCCGCTAGGCCCCGCAGAGCAGCTCTGGGGCTGACGGCACTGAGGCACGGTCCCATCAACAAAAGAAACGCTCAGTAACCTGACGAAGGTGGTGGTTGGTGTGTATTTATTGGGCAACAAAATAAAGAGTCTCCATGGCTGCACCCAGCTGTAGCTGAGCCGTGTCGGCCATAACGGGCTCGTTTTGACACGTCGGGTCAGTCGTGAAGATTCACATTTGTGGGTTTCGCATATGCATCCTGAATCTGACTTTGTAAACCCTCAGATTTAAATAGTTTTTTTTTTTTTTATCCTAGTAAAAACAACTGCTTCAGTTCCACACGTGGACCCTCTGTGTGCTCTTTGTTTGGAGTCTCATCCTTCCAGCAGCACACGAGTTCTGAGGTTCTGCCCCAGTAAAAACCTGCTGACCCGTTTGTTTTGCTGAAGCCGGTGGACCATCAGCCTCAGGCCGGTGCTTTTCCTGTGACCCCCCCCAACACACTTAAGAATCATCTAGTCTACTCGAGTGCTCTCGGTCTAACGTGTAAAGTTATGAACTTTTGAAAAAAATCAAACTTATTTACAGTGTAAAGGATTAATATCCACTGACGAAACGTGAACGCTTTGATTTATAAAAGCGAGAAGTTCAGTGGAAAGTTTGAATGAGTAAATGTAAAATAAGACGTCATTCAGGAAAGATCAGTGTTTGCACATTAGGGCTTGCAGGCCCAATGGGGTTTGTTTTTTTTGTTGTTTTTTTTTTTTAAATCGGACAGATTTGTTGCTTCTAAGTAAACTGGTGTTCTTTATTTTTCTTTATTATTTTGCTCTCAGCAGGGGAAGCAGACTCAGTTAAACGATATTTTAGGGTTGTCAGTTTGTTACACTGGTTTTTAGTCTGCACGTCATGTCCAGTTTTTATTCATTAATAAATGAGTTATGCCACTGGCCTGTGCACGTTTCATTTAATCCCTGTTTACTTTGTGCAAATCTGTCAAGTTACAAGGTTTGAATCCTCGTTTCCTGTAGATAAACAGATTCATTTACGGGTGTTCCCCTGAGTGAATGAGCCTAACTGTGTGTTGTGCGTGGAGCAAAGCATGACGATGAAGGACGACTGATGCAACCTGACAGAATTCCTTTCAGCTAGGGGGCGCTACTGCTTCTAGAAACTTATTGTAAATCCACTAGGTTGACATCTGATCCTGAAAATGTAATGGGCACAGTGGGAAATACTCTGGACATTGACCAGATTGCTCATTTAGTTTTTAGAAATGAGAGAAATCTCATTTTAAAATACACCAACCTGAGGCTTGTTCCTGTTGGTAATAGAGGGCAGGTACAGAGCAAGTGATGACTTCAGGAGCTGTGTGTGTTCACATCAGCTTGCTCTGGAGAACAAACCGAAAAAGCTTTCGTATAAATCATTGTGCTTATTTATTTGAAAAACATTCTTTGGCAGAAATCAAAATGAGCACCAATAAATAGTGTCAGTTCAGTCAAACGATGCCGACCCACTCACACACAACTTGCTGAGTCGTCCTCTGAATCCGGCCCAGCTTCTTTCCTTTATGAGAATTCCCTATTATAAAGTGTTTTCAAATCTTTGAAATGGGAACCTAACTGATGTCTGAGAGCGTAGAGGGATTATCTGGCCAAACATAAGTTGAGCTGTGTGAATCTCAGCCTGTACCTGCTGGATGGTCGGACCCCCTTCTGGGTTGGACGGACGGTCTTGTTAAGTGACATATCCTGTGGTGTCAGCTTAGACGGGCTCTGTCAGTCACAACACAAACCAAAACAAAAGATAAGTGATACAGTAGTGCTGAAGGACCAAATGTATGGCGCAAACAGCGGTGCTGCTTCCAAAGGATTCCTCAAGGCTGAATGGAATGCGATGTTTTAAAGCAGATGTGGATTTCAAAGACTTTACCTTCTGGGCTCCGGCTTCCTGTAATAAACTGATGCCACAATTCGATAACCGGCCCACATGTGGTCCAGTCACATCCTGGACTTTCACATGGTCTTTTCGGTCCACAGATGAGAGAGACTGAGGGTATCCTTTGAGTTAATTGGTTGCACAGATTTATTCAAGAATTTTTACAGGAGCCGTACATGAAGGGTAATGCAAGAAGAGTAACAGGCATCGGTTACAGCTGATGGTAATAATAGCAGGTTAGATGTCAGTACAATAAAGCATTCATATGTTTGCAGAATCATTTTAAAGTTCTAAGAAAAATAACTGAAGCCTTTACGAAACGCTCATAAATAAATACTGACCTCATATCAAAATCAAGTGTAATCAAACGGCAAATATAAAGAAAAAATCTCTATGCTTTTTTTTTTAACACAAGGCAGATACATATGATTTTGTACATTCAGATACTTCACTTCTGGTATCAATCACCTTCACAGTGTTTGTAAAATCTACAGTAGTGTAATCTCATGGTGCTTTTGAGCAGAGTGGTGACGCCGACAGACGAGATGCTGCCGTATCTGCTCCATAGACTATTTACAGAGCTGCCCACCTCACAGTCAGTTCTGTGTTTGATTAAAACTCTGGCTGCAGAGGTTTGGAAATTACATGAGCAAGGCAGCGCAACAGCTTAAGACAACTAAAATTAACTGTCATCAGATTCATTTTAAAGATGGAGAAGTCAGCAGTGTGCATGGGAAATGGACTTTAGACCTATATATTTGAAGTTGACAGCGAATGGATATTAAGATAATTACTATTCACCCAGCAGGGAGAGCAAATATCAAATGAATATCCAAATTTGTTATGAGACATCCACGCCTCCTACTGTTGGTCCACAGCTGGCAGTTTTAGCTGTGGGGCAAACTACAACCACATACTTTGTTTGTTTGTTCTAGGAGTTTAAATTGTAATGATTTTACATTGACACTTTTAAAATCTATAACTAATGCTGATCTGTAAATGATATAACCAATTGCAAAAGTAATCGGCACCATAGAGGTGAGTGGACACACACACAGGTAAAAATCCAGAGCAGCAGAATGATGCGAATAACAAAGTAATCCATTTGCTACAGATGAGCCGTGCACACCTCTAAGCTGAGGCTTAAATCGGCCTCATCCGCTTCCTGGTTTGGGAGCAACACTGCGGGGTCACAGCGCTTCACAGAGCTGCATTCATGCTGCATTCAATGGCCGCTGGGAGCCCACAAATTCTTATTCCTGACTGGGGAAACTAAAGAAAACTAATTCAGAAGCAAGCAAGAAATTTCTTGTGTTGACTAAATTTCCTCAAAAAAGCAACTTGTCCAGTCCCTTAAATGTGTGAGTTTAAGTTTTTTTCTTAAGTTAAAGGCTAAATATTCTGAACATTTAGCAGTAAGTAACTAACTACAATATAAAGATATAGAAACATAACAGCATCCTCCATAGCACAGATACAAATGATTATTTCTCAGGTGAAATCAAATCATATGTGAATGTTTTCATGCAAACATAATCTCACTTTCTCCTGGGATAAGACCCAAGTTTATGTTGCTTTGGCTTTCCAGAGACAGACAGCCCCATGAGCTGATGTATGGCCTCCACCGTTGTCTCACTTTTGGTTCTGGTTCTGTTTTGTTGGCTGTCAGATACTGCCGTTTTCAAGCAGTACCTGAGGTGTCTTATGTCTGTATATTGTACCATTAAAGGGGTAAAAGTATAGAAATATCCCACTCAGGGAGACCGTTGATTTTCTTTTCACCTTATTTTTTTCATTGAATGAAAAAAGGACTGAACATGATGGAGTTTGAAGTTCCGACCTCCTGTGTCAGTTGCTGAATTTTAATCAGAAAAGCAGAAGATGTTACCCCATTGTAACGCCGTCTATACACGCCCACTGCACACAGCTTCAAAATCTAACCTCAGAGAAAAGCCTGTTTCACAGTCAAATGTTCCCTTTCAGTTTCTCATCGTCAAAAGAGAAAAACACCACTGTTCTTATATGAAGATGACAGAATTGGAAAAGTCATTGAATTCATGGTGGAACCTTAAATTTGTTTTTTAAAACTTTTTTTGAATCTGTGGATCTTCTGGGAATGGGCTGATTTAGTCTCCATAACTAAGCAAGAGCTACGCTGGCATTGCGTCTTCAAAAACAATGAGTGAATTGTTGCAGATGTTTCTCCTGTGTGTGTGTCTGTGTGTGTGTGTGCGTGTGGTGTATGTTTGTGGGGTACACGATTGCAAAAGAAGAGAAATTTAAGCAATTCCCATCAGTCTAAGTTCGTATGTTACTTTAGTAAAAGAGCTGAGACGGAAAATGCATTAAGTTTGATTTGAAAAAGTGATCTTTTTGCATGAAAACACCATGTTTATAAAGAAATAGTTTGACATTTTAGCACATGCCCTATTTCACAAGCTTAGCCTTAGCTCAGCTAACTGTTCTGTCCACTCACAGCCAGTGCTCTAAACTAGCTAGCTACATGTTTGTCTTTCATATTTACAAAAATATCATAAAAAGCGGTGAGCATCCTTAAATCAGAAAGTATATAAGTGTGTATCAGGGAACAGCTTCTCACATTGAGAGAATCCTCCCTCCCTTCTGCTTACACAATTCCAACATTAAATTCAAATCTCAGTGTCCTGACTCTTCTTCATCTTTCCTGAGGAGCTGTTCAGTGTTATTATTGCTACAATTCTGAATTATGTCTTAATCGTTATCAACACTTGATTCAGATATCCAAAGATTCCAAAGCTGCTGGTTTTGCTTGGGTTTTGAAGCCGTCTTTGAGTTTGGGCAGATAATATTAAACCGTGTGAACAAAAATTGTTTGAACAATTACAAAAAGTATATAAAAGCAGGTCGTTGGCTTAAAACTGTTCCCGTGTTTAATTGTCATTGCGTGCAGACATACAGTCTTTTATTGCTGATATGTGTCCTCATTCTAAAAAATACTGCATAACTAGTGGCCCGTCATTATCGACAGAGGACACAAGCGCCTCGAATGATAAAGTCATAAAGACTGGCTGTTAATGGAGGGAAACTGGCTGTGTGTTGTGTGCATCTTTGGCCTTTTGGGTTACCTGCTGTTACCGTTGCTTTTTCCCGCGGCGGTGCACAAAAAAGGACCCCCTTATGCGATCAAAGTACCTCAGTCCTGTTGGCTGTGTTGTGGGCTCACAGGTAGGTGGTGGCCTCTCTGTTCTCCTTCTCTCTGGCCTGGGCCACAGCCACGTTGATGCACTGCAGCCACTCCTCAGCGTGCTTCTCGTCCTGAGCTTTCAGCACGTAGGTCTTGCTGTCCGTGAAGATCTCGAAGGCCCGAGGCAGACCCCGATCCCTTCGCTTCTTGGCTACAACCTTAGAAGAAAGAAAAAAAAAAGATTTGGAAGGGAAGGAGAGAGGGTGTGTCTCCTGGAGAGAGTTGCTGCTCCCCCTCTATAGGATTATGCCTCTTTTTCATCACCCAACCTCGCACCACTCAAAGTCTCCAATCAGGAGAGTTTTGACCTGGCACAGCTGTCCTACCAGCTGGTGGAGTGACGAGCAAAAGTAAGAGTGAACACAAATAGCTGCGGTGCGAGGCCAGTGCATGAGACGGACGTGTGGTGAGAGATGGTGAGAGTCACCTTGACACTCTGCACTTTGCTCAGCTCGATAGGGATGTCATCCAGCTCATCTTTCTGTGGAGGGAACGGACAGAGCTTGTAAATATAGCACAGTCAGATAAGCGCGGAATAAACATCTCTGGGAGAACTAATGACCCGTCACATCTGGCTGCAACATTCACATGATCACAGAGGCACAACGGGGTTTGCTAGCATTGTTTCCCGCATGCCTCACCACAGAACAGACCGCGTACTGAATAGGCAAGTCCGCTTTGTCGCTCTGTTGTTTCTCCAGGACAGAGGCTTAAATTGTTTCGGAGTTGCCTACCTCTGTTGCATTTTGAGCGAGTGCGTTTGTGTGTGTTGCAGTGGAGCTGTGTGTACGTTGTAGCACAACTATGTGGCTGAAACCACAACACCACAGCTAGCTCCCAGGCTCATGGCGAGTGGCCACATCCTTTTAGCGGCATGTGTGTTGAAAGCCATTCATTTGCAGAAGCCACAAATGCCGTTTTACCTCCCAGCCAGATGTGCCGATGGTCATTTTCCCACTAAGGACATATTGTGAAATATTTTATTTGTGGAAAGGCTATTGCTTAAAAGCAAACCCATATCATTATTATCTGTGCTGTTGGTTTAGCTAATATGCTGAAAATGTATTGTTTAAGTCACTTTTGGTTTTGGTCCTCGCGCTGATGTGTCCGATACATGGAGTGGATTTTAAGTGAATCTTTTCCAACAGCAGAATAACTTATCAGAGTAATGTTTCATTTGGGTGTGTTTTTTTGCCACAAAACCACATGTGAAAAGTTTAGATGATGTGAAATGGTTTTACTTCTGTCGTAACCTGCATATTTGTATCCAGTGTGACCATTGCTCAGATATTATTATCAATAAACGTCAGCCTGTCACAAATAACAAGCACTTTGCTTCTCCCCTCAAATGAGCCTTTATCTTCATCCTCAATTGTGAGGAAAATATTGAGATGAATTTCAAAAACCGTAAACTACATTTTTAGATTTGGTACTGTGTACAAATAGCACTTGTCATTTAAGGAGTTAGTACGCAAAATAGGCATAGAGTACAATTTGTGAGAGAACATAGTGGTCTTGCTTTTAATTAGATTGCCATAATCTTTCATCTCTCTCTCTCCGAATAGGAAGAGTTAGTGAACTGTAGTCCTGGCTTGCCTGTAGTTGGCACTAGTCCTTGTCTGGACCTAATTTAGGAGAACATTTGATATTTAGTGAGGACACACTAAGGACTGGTCTCTACCCACAATGCATTGTAAAATCTGTAAAGGATATTGAGATGTCCTTTATGCAGACATTTGTTTTCATCCTACACATAATTCCAGAATTGAACTTGACTTCTTTTGGAGATTTCTGGCTGAATTTGGAGGAATGCTGCCAGAGGCCTTGAGACTTTTCAATGTTTGAGACTCATCAAGTTTAACATGGAGTGAACACATAAAAGACAGTTTTTAGTTATTAATCTTTCTTTCCAAAGTAACAACCTAGCAAAAAAGCTCCAGAATATGCTGGCAGAGATTTACTGAAACTTTAGAGCAGACACACAACTTTCCCCATGTGTTCCTGCTGCACAAATCTACCCCATCTGGACAGCAGCAGCAAGACTATTGTTTGGAGTTGGGAAAAAGCAAATTACCCTCCTTTTCTCCATTTGTAACGATTGTGTATCCCAACACACCTTAATGCCCCTCTGTGATGCTGTCAGCATTTGGGTGGCTTGCCTGTATGTGACACCGACATGAAAGGATCCACAGAACGCTCATTCTCTTCTTGGTTGTGGAATTTATCTTAATCATTACAACTTTAACTGTGACTAGAGTATGTGTAAGGACACACAGTGTTACTCAGTGGAGTTATTTTTGGGATCCAATCCAGTTTGACTGCATTTTTGGAAATCTTTTCAACCCTCTGATGTCAACACTTTTTCCAATAGGCTGTTTTTGCTGACAGAGCAGCATTCTTGAAGAGTCCTTTTCTGGATTTGCTTGGAGTCAGAAGATGACAACACAGAGTTTGGAGACAAAACCAGGTTTGCAGACTGATGTGACTCTTCTTCAAAAACCAACAGGTAGTGGGGATCTAGCCCTTTGACCGAGCCAAATTAAAATGGACATCCTCTGAACACACTGTTCAGGCCATGCTTTTTAGTCTCTACGCTGGACCTTCTTTCTGGTGTTTGCTACTTGTGCACAATCATATCTGCTTTCTGTTTCAAAGGGTGAGAGTGACTCATGCAGAGTCAAACCAACCCCCCAAGAGTTGTTAGCCATGCCAAGTTTTACTACGGCTGGATTTACCACATGCCGCAGAGGGACGGCTGAGCTCTTCCAGGGGTTGGATTTCCACACTTTCATACAGTTTCATCATAATTCAAATGACACGCAACGGGGAAATATTAATGAAAATTTCCATAATCTTCATGCCAGGGACAGAAAGAGTGAGTGCAGCCATCGGTGGATGTGTTAATTTGTGAGAAGACTTCATTATCACAGCATACTTACCGATTTGCCTCTGCGGAAGAGGAGCTGATTTCCTGCCAAGGTGAAGTAGCGGGTCTTCCAGCGCTTAATGAACTTCCATCGGACCTGCTTCTCTTTCAGCTTCCCTTCAATCAGAGGCTGTCCCTCTTGGTTCACAACTAGAGAGCCATACAAACAAACAAACAAAAAACAGACAGAAAGGGAGAAAGAGGATAAAAAATAGAGTATCACTGTTTTGTTTTTATTGTGGTCTTTACTGGAAGAGCAGATTGTATAAACCATAAGGTGACCAAGAGGGATCTTGAAATGGATAGATTATGTGCTATATGTTAGAGACTGTTATAATACGAAAAAGAGTATGATGTAATGTGACTTTTGAACCTAGTACAGCATAATGTAAATGTGCTCTTATACAGCCCTCTGAAAATAAAGGTCAAGAATTCTATCATAAGTTGAAAAATTACAGCTGGTTATTGTACATTTTAATAGTTTATAGCAGACGCTTTTATCCAAAGCAACTTACAAACTGGGGGGGGGGTACCGAGAGCTGAACAGCAGACCTCTTGATCTGCAGTCAAATGCTCTACCACTGAGTTTATATGCTTTGTCAGTTGGCTCTGAGCATTCAGAGAGAATAAATAGCTATCTTGCAGGAGATTTATGTCAAAACTCCAGTTTGATTGTAAAAACATTCAGTAGAAATTTGCAGACTCAATACATAACTGTCCAAAATTAGCTAATTTTGATCAAAACTTGCGGCTCTTTTGGAAACAAGGTCTTTCAGCTTTTTTCAACCTGTACAAGGTCATTTTGGGAGTAAGAGATTGACATATCAAGCTGAGTGGAGTTTGTAGGTCCTTATTCCATTATGTGGATGTGGGGTTTTCACTGCATTTAGCACACACACACATGCTGATTTACAACACATGCTCCTAAGTTAAAGAGTTAAGAGCTTTGCCATTGCTTGTCTTGGGCCTGTTTTCATACATGAGGTCAATTGTTGCTATTGTAAGGTCTGGCAACATCAGCTCCAGCGGAGTTCTGGAGTGGGGTTTCTAGGCTGTGGTTAAAAAAACAACAACAAACATGTGCACAATTTTGGATTGAAGGAGAAGGCTAATATTCTTCATTTATATGTATTTATAAGTATATGGATATCATAAAGAACCTAAAAGGGTTTAAATCAATGCACCTGTGTGGTGAGACACCATGGAGGTATGAGCCATCAGTCAGACAATCTAAGGAATTTATGGGTGAAGTCTAAACCTCTTTTTCTCATAATGTCTTCATCTTCACTCCCAACACGCTTGCTTCTGTTTACCAGCAACCTTTCAGCAACACCTATGGTCCCTTCAGCTCAAACTGAGCCCAGGTTTCCAACTACCAGCCCTGATTTAATCACCAGCTTTTTTGCCAAATTTCCATTTCTAATATAAAATTGCTACTTATCTTTATATGTTTCTATTTAGCTTTAACTTGTTTTGTTAAAAAAGATTAGCTAAAAAAAAGTTTATGGTTACTTTTAAGGATGCCATAACCGTCCAAATGAAAGCAAGCAACAACCAGGAAAGCATGAAACCCTATGCATGTTTGTGTATCTTTACCCGGTCACACACTGTACTGATCATTAGCAACAACTTCAAAGACATTCCAGTGGTTAAAGTTAGCACTATAACATAAAGTGCAGTGGAGCTGCTGTAAGAATTGGCTCCACTTTGCCCTGCTCGTTTAAAACCAAAGGTAAGTCCTTTTTTTATTATAGTAAGGCATTATAAGGAATCGGAAAATAACACAGTAGCTGCTACAGCTTGTGACACAAATAGCGTGTGTCAATGATACAGGCGTGCACACTATCTTTGATTAGACAGCAGAGAATCTCACAGGAAAAAAATATATTAGATGAGTTATTGTTATCATTCAGAGCCAGATGGCCCATGCTGTACCTAACTCACAGACACAGTCTGGCTGGGGAAGTTCTGCCATTCTTTTTTAAAATAGTTTTGAATCTGTACTGTTTGGATTTAAGGGTATGATGTGTCTTTCTACTTCTGTGAAGTAATACTTAAATTGGTGGCAATAATGAGGAGGGAGGAGAGCGAGAGCAAAACATACTTTAGCAGACGTGTCGTGAAGTGGCTTTTCTTTTCCATCGTAAAAAAAAAAATCCTGACATCACATATAGTGAAGACTTCTCTTTTCTATGTTGCTGAGATCACTGGTTATGTTGTCAAATCTGCTGGTTTTCACTATATTCCCTATGGGTTTGCTCTGTTTTCGAAAGGACTGTGTATTGGTTGAATTTGGATGTACATTGATTGCATTTTGAATGTTCAGATCATCAGCTTCCAAATGAAAATATAACATTTTGCTGCGAAATGTAGGAAAAAACGTACGGTGATACCTGGCTGTAAAGTCAAAGCTGAAACTCTGCGTATCATTTACATGTTCATGATTTTACAAACTTAGTTGACTTAAACATCCAATGATTATATGAATTCTGAGGAGAAACTGCTTGTTCTTGGTGTGGGGAGTCGCTGGGCCACAGGAAAGTAATCACGACTGAGTGATGATAGCACAAACCGACTGCTCTCAGTGACCCTTCACGACACCAAAATCAGGCTGGCAGCTGCGCTTTCCTCAGGTGTCCATAAATGTTCTGGGAAAAGATTATTATCCTTGAAGGAATTTTGAGTGAAAACAACTCCCCTCCCCGGGAAAGAAAACTAAGCCCACAGACCCTGGTGAAATGACAAGAGATGAGAAAACAGTATTTTAACATCCTGCTTTACCTGTTGGCTGCTTTAGATGAAGAACAATGCAAAAAGCATTAAGCTGTGTAAGAAAAAGCGGACGTAGTTTGATGGCTGCAGTTGTGAAAGTGTGCAAATGTATGAAGTTATATTAATACAAGAAGGCGGTAGACCGATTCCTTAAGTCCTTCCTGGATTCCTGTGTGTATGTGTGTATGCGTGCTGGCCTTCACCTGTGGCCTTCTCAGGGTTGTTACACATGAAGCAGAGCCAGCACCCCTCCTCTTCGCTGTAGCCAAACAAGTCGAAGAAACGCACCTCTTCCAGCTGGATCTGAAGGTTATCCAGGTCCTGAGGACAAAGGCAAAGAAAATAGGCACGGATGGATGATTTACCTTCACTCACAGATATCTAATGGGAATAAAGTTTGGACTCTGTGTTGGCCAGTCCATGAGCAAAAATGACATCTCGGGCTGTGTGAGCAACTATTTCCCAACATAAAACCGATGACTCCTGGCATTGTCATCTTGGAACATGCCCGTGAAATCATGGAATAAAAACCGATGGAACAAATGTATTCATGAAGGTCAGTAAACCTTACTTTCTGGGAACAAAACATTGTTGAACTTTGACCCAACATATGCAACTTTACATGGTAACGCTGCCCCCTACAAATGGCCAAAGGCATGATGGGTGCTGCACTTCGTCTGCCATTCTTCATTCCGCAAGTAGAAATCTGGACACATCATATCATATCATACAGCACCCAGCAGAAATTGGTAAATCTGACACATGACCAGCTGCACTGAGGATTCCTACCGGATGGGATAGACATAGCTTTTTTTCTCCTTGATTTGGTAACTATGCTTTTACTTTAGTTTAGCTGAACTATTCATAGAGTAACACAGACTGTTCAACTCAATATAAAATTATACTTTTGGCTGGTTCAATTTACCAGTACTTCATTTCACAAGAACACTCTGAGTTATGAGTTGTTTGGCATGCTTTTGTCAGAAAACGGTGTAAGACTTATATTATAGCCCCCCCATTCTGTTCTGCTCCCAGTGTGGTATTATCAGCACACCTCTCGCATCTGATGTTATGATGAGTACATCTAAATGAAGGCGGGGAACAGTAACAGAAAAGTACATGACTGAATAGCACTTTAGTAGACTGATTAATCCATTATTGTCATGCATCCTGTAGAAATCAAGCTTAATGTGTTAGAAAGCTCTCAGCCCCACGTTTGCCTTGTTTTGTTCGCCTGACAGACATCGTCATACGTGGTTTCTTAAAGTATGGAGAAGTGACTCAGTACTTCAGTTAGGGTAAAATTACTTACTGCAGTATTTTTACAACTGCAAGCTCATACACAGCTATTTTTGTGTATACTAATTCATGGAATATCATGATTGTTATGACTCGGCTCATTGGGTGACACCATAAAGGAGTGCCCTAAAGTTTTGGTTGATTAAAAACCAGGTGATGAAGTCAAACAGTAAGACTACCCATGGGAAAAAAAAAAGCATCGGTCCTCACACATATACGCAATACCAACACATGAGCTGCTCAGTCTAGTTTATGTTTACCCAAAATAGAGCAGGAAGACAACTTAAAATGAGTGCATACAGATGCAAAAACATAAATGAACGCACATGTAATTAACTTCTATCTCTGTTTAAAAGCTCAACGTTGTTCTCACAGACTAATGTCTTCTGAAAACATCGGTGGTCCAATTTGCATCTGTATGCGTCAGAAATGTGAGACATGAAAGCCCAGGATCCATTAGGGGTCCTGCATGTGGTTTCAGTCTATCATTAGATAAATAAAAACACTGCTTGTTGACTCTCGAACCCTGGAGATAATATATATTTATGGGAGTTTGGAGAAAATGAGGGAGAAGATAGATTACTGCCTCAAAAGCGTTATGCGAAAAACTTCTATTTAACATGTGGATCTTTAAGATCCAGTCTTATAGACTGTATGTCTATAAAAAAAGAAGATTTCTCTAATGGTAAAGCAATGAATGGGTTTGACATTTTGACCTCTCTTGTTTCTGTTCTTGAAGGTAATGAGAGAGATTGTACCTGAGAGAGCTGTTTTACGTGTGTTCTTTAATGTGTGTTATGTGTGTATTCTTACGACTGAAAGTTGTCCTTAAACTCTCATTTTACCAAACATACTCACAGTCCAAGTTGTTAACGTGAGCATAACATCAGAGCCGGCTTTGGGCTGTTATAGCCTAAATAACAGAGGTGAAAAGGGTTTGCCTGTGGATACAGATTAACCAGGACCATGTGTGTCTAAAGGGAGACAGGCCATCTTCGAGTTTACACAATCACTAATATTCTCATATGGTGCAAGGGACTGAGTGGTCATCTTGGGACATGTTACGAAACAGAAATCCATATCATGTCTGATACATCTACAAAGACATAGGTTAAAAGACAGGATTTGTGTTTTTTTTCCTGCTTTGCTGCATTTAAAATGCATCCGTTTAGCCTTTCCAACCAACTGTGTCCCCTTCTTCCTTTCATTAACTCATAAAATTACTTGATAAAACGATTGTTTTGTGAGAGCGTTTTGCTGATAATATGTGCCATCTAACATTCTGAAGGCGCAGGCTTTACTTATTAGGTCATTTTTAGCTATTTGCACTGACAACATTCAATCTGCCAATTAGGACGAAGTCATGCAACCTACTAAAAAATTCTCACTGAATCACTTTGTATTTACCATAATTGAACAGCCATCAACGTTCTTCACTAATTACTAAGCAAATCGCCAACCAAAGAAAAAAGAGGATGAACAATGATGAGAAGCATCCTGTGAGTCAGAAATTGAGCAACCATGCAAAAGGCATTTGGCCACATTTAAGAGTGAGTCACTCCATCATGACAAATGAGTCAAAAAAGTGTCAAAGTGTCCAGTGTGCATGTTTACCACTAACACCACAATAGTCATTTAGAGAGAGAACACGATCAACACGTCGTCCAAATGTGCTCTGACGTTGCGCTGTGAGAAATGAATATGGACCAGAAAGGTGGGGTGAATGACAAAATGACGAAAATGAGGGCTGAACTGTGTGAGTGTGAATCTAATGTGCCCGTCCTGACTTAACCTTCTCTCCTCTTTCAAAAGGCCTCACTTCTTTTTCTTCTCATCTCTCCCTCCGTCCTCCCGGTATAACTGGTCTTAGACTAATTCAATCAAGATGCACGATTGTAACTGCGTGTGGCAGGCTTCAAGTACAGCAAGGCTGCGGCAATGATCAGATGTACGGAGTCTTCCATTCTGTTAAGGGAAGAAGGACAGTAGAGGAGGACGGGTGTGGAGGTTAAAAAGAGGGCTGCAATAAATACAAACTCAGGCTTTTTTATTTCTCTATGTGTGGACATTTATCTTTAGGCCGGTCTTGACGTAAATGTCCAAGCAAAGTCAAGGGTCCTATTTGTAAAAGTCTCTTTAGGTGGGCAGAGACAGCTTTCTTTCTCCGTCTTCATCCCAAAACATCTTTATCTAATCAGCCTGAGCTCAGTCTTTATTGCTTTGTAACCCACTTTCTTCCCTTTTCTCCCACCCAACAGAAGTATCAACAAACTCTATTCCAGGCAAACTGAGGAAAAAAGGTGAAACAATACTTGTAAAGTATCTTTCATCCCAGGCTCTCAGCTATCTCTTCCCTCTTTTCCTCTTCCACAAATCTCTTGCCAGTGAAAATGGGTCTTTTTCTATAAACATGTCAATCCCCACATTTGTTTTATAGCTTTTTAGGACACTTTCCAGGTGCCTTAGTTCTCTGTAAAATGGTCTGTCTTGCTCTAACTTACATCAACATCTTCCCATATCAATCTGTTTACTTTATAATTATTACATTGCATACTTTGTGGCTTGTTGGCCTTACCTTCCTCATCCCCCTCATTTTCTTTCACTCCAGCTTTATATTTTCTCTATGTCATAAAACTACTAAAACTACTAAAGTTAGTGGTCAGGAGTTAAACACATGAACGTTTTAAATCATGAAAGCCTCGTAAAGCTCTATAGTTTCTCTTTAAATCTCCCTGCCAGTACAGATGTAATTGGTAACCTTTTCTGTCCCGTATATGTCAACTACATGTGTTTCTTATTGGCTCTCACGGGCAGGAGAGAAGCCATGGGTCTGATTGGAGAGAGGAAAGAGGAAATGTAGTACATATGGACGGAGGAAAGGTTGTGACCTTTTTCCTCCCTCTCTCCTATCTCCCCTTCATTTTATTGTGCACTTTTTCTGTAGTTGGCGCCCACTAAAAAAGGAGACCATACTGAAAATTATTTTAAAAAATAGAAAACAAACTGGCATTATAGCTGTTTAATTGAATCAATACCATGTGTCAAAAGTGTCAAAATGTCAATAAGTTAACTGAGTAAAAAATATAAGATTATCTTTAAGCACAGTCTTTATCTTGCATTGGTAATAAACCACAGTTGTACCAATCCTTGGTTGTGCTTCACATTTTAAAATCCCTCTCTAACATTCAGGATTCCAAGACTTTATTTTTTTCAATTAAAGCAGGTTTATTTGTTTTAAAAATAAAACGTAACTTTCTGTAAATTGCTGCTGCAGTGTGTTTCTTCCATCTAAAATGAGCAAGTTTTTTTTCAAGCTGTCCACCATAGAAAATGGCTTGCTTTGTAACATAATTAGTAAAACTTGCTCAGAAATGATGAACCATAAAGCAGCTGCTTATTATTCTTTTATGTGACAAAATGTTGCACTACAGATATAAAGCCAATGCATTTTAAGGGTAAAGTTTGACTCCAAATGAGCTGTTTAAAGTCAGCTGAGTTGCAGTTTTCTTTGGGTAAGAGTCTGAAATTATTAGTTTCAGTTGTATATTTTTCTACTATGGAATCATTGTTTTTTCAGTGGCTGTTTTAAATCAACTACCGGCTTTTTCAAACAACATCTGTCACTACTATGAGGTTATAGCAGGATATCTGTGGTAGTAGGGTGAATGTTATATGGAGAAGAAAACTACCAGATCTGTATTTTTTGTGTAATATTTACTGTGTACGACAGGCGGACTGGCATCTTCTGTCCTGAATACACGTTTAAAGCATAAATGCTGCAGCTCAAACCATATGGCATTAGTAGGGACGGCAATTTGGAGATAGTAACCTCTACACAAGTGAACATTTAGTGATAAATTAAATGAACTGTGCACAACATAAACAATAGATAAGTGTTTGTGAATATTTCTCCTTGTATGCATTATGGAGTGTATGTATGGAAGTCCCTTTAGCCAAAACCATTACACTAAAGGATTAAAAGTTGGCTTGAGGTTAAGATAAATTCAGGTTTATTCGTTATGGCTGGATTTAGTGTTGATGTCCAGTTAATCATTGCTTTCCTGAATGTGCCTACACATGTTTTTTCTGTAAATGTATCTTACTATAGGTTAATGAGCATGCTGGTAAGTTTGTGTTCCTTCTGGTAACCAAAGCTGGTTGGACAGGCAGAAATTCTTTGTGGGCCAGATTATTTATTAACATTTTCTTACCTTGTAACTTTATGAAGGGCCTGCATGAGGAGTACCAGTCACACAAACACATCTGGGGTTCGTTCTATAACTAGTCTTATGCACACACACATTACAGAGAGCTGAAGCCTTGTATAAAGTAACGTCCACTAAGTGCGGTTCACGTATAAACACAGTGCGCGACACACCCCTTGCTTAAAGAGTTTCTCTTTTTCTTTCATATAACCAATGACTTCATTCCCTCTGCTGAAAACTGATAGCTTTTCTATGAGCACACGCTTGTCGGCAAACACAATATGGTCCAGTACCTTCCTGTGTGGGGTGGTGTGTTGTGTCATGGCCATAGAAAAGCTGTGAGATCCTTTCAGCTGTGTCCTCTCCCAAAGGGAAGCCAGTCTTTGGACACACTTGTCTCTGGTGCACAGAGGAACGCTGGACTTACTCTGGTCAAAAGAGAAACAAAACAAAATAAGAGAGGAACAAAAAAACATGTCTGGGAAGAGATAAGGTTGGAGATAAAGATGTGGGCAAGAACGAGCATGAAAACATCTGCCCAAAAAGATAAAGATAAGTGACAAATGAGGGAAAGTGAATGCAAGATTGAATGCAAAATTAGAGAGGTAAAATGAGTCATTTAGCAAAACAATTCTATCCTGACAGATAGAAAAGTCTTCTTTTTGTCAGTGATCACAGGTGAAAAATACAGTGTATCTCGCAGATGTGTTACTTTGTGGCTTAACTCGGACTCAAAGTTAAACTCTGGGTCTTCAGTATCACAAAGCTGGTTCACTTCTAACCAGGTTCTGACCGGTGGCAGAGGTTATGTGGCAGTGAGAATGGTTAACATAGCATTGCTAGTATGGTCCATGAAAGAAAAATAACATTCTGATGACAGCACTATTTTTAACACTTGTTTCAAGACACTTATGCAGCTTTTGCAGAGAGCCTGCGGGGGTGTTTAACATAATGGCTTCTGTTTGCTTGGTAGAGCTACTGGTTATTTTCTATTTAACATTGGATTTTAAAATAACCAATGAGAAATATTTTTTATGCCATTTGCAAATTTCATAGTGTATGTGGAAAAATGCCGAGACATTTTTACTAGTATTCATTTATGATTATAATGGCAACATTTCTGTAATATTAACATCAAACTTTAGCATAAGTCTAAATCTTAAGTCTAGTTAGTCTGTTTCTTTATTGCAAAGAGAATGATCGGGTTCTGATGTCCTATTTTGTTGCTTTTTTATCTCAATACAAATTTTGTGAGATTCCCACATTGGAAACAATGGAACCAGCTTTGTTAAATGAAAAAAAAAATCCAGATCTGCAGCTGAAGTAACCACACAAAGCCACTTTATAGGACAAGTTTTAGCCTAGGCTGTCCCTGACAGGCATCTCCACAGCGCATCCACCATGTGATGAATCAGCCGGGGGAGATTCCCAGATGTGTTAGAAGGAGCTGAAAATAAACTTCTGGCCCTTCTGCAAGCTGCAAGTAAACTATGAAAATGGACATGTGAAAAATATTTACAGAGGCAATAACACTTGTGTGTGCTAGGATATTCATCAGATGCTAGGTTCTCCCAAAATACAAGTTGTCTCAGACTCAACATAATTTGAAGCTTACAATGACTTGTTTTACCTCTGCATGCAAAAAAACTCCAAGATTCTTAAAATAACTTTTTGAGATCTCTGATTCTTAAAACTAGACTGGGTAACATGCTGAAAAATGTCTGCTTTTTTCTTTTTTTTTTACTTTGCTCACTGGTTTTAAAACCTATGTTTAATGCTTTGCAGCAATATTTGTGCGCACCTGTAGATGCAATAGCATGATGTGAATCCAAAGGTGGGGTTGTCGGCTTGTCAGGTTGAAACAGGATTTAGCGTACAGGCAGTAGTGGCCCTTCAGAGGGCAGGAGAACGAAAGCTTGGCCACACAGCCTCGACTAGAGTCTGTTACACAAAGACACAGAACATATACATTGACAAATTAATATTCTGAAATAGTACGTTTTTGTGTCACTTGTACATTTTGACTTAGGTTATCTTGGAGATTAATAGCACACAGGCACACAGCATTACACCAACAACAGACATCCACATGGAAATTGGTTTCAACATCAGAATCAAAATGAAATACAAGTGAGAGTTATCTACAGTACATGGCAGTGTTCTGCTAACAATCAGAAACTCAAACATCACATCTGTAGTCAAAAGTGGATATGGCACAATGTCACACTAAAGTAATCCGGCTACAGAGGGCCAACACAAAGACTCGGCTGATGAAACAACCATGTCCCACCCAACAAGCCAACAAAAAGCAGCCACATCAAGTTCAAATTTATAGAGCTCCCAGCAGCTCTGAGCCCGTCTGTTGATGTAGCATCAACAAGAAGCATGTGCATGCTGTGAGTCGTTGTCTCACTGTACACGTGCATGTGTGTGGCTGTTTGCATGAAGCGGTCCATCACGCAGTCCTCGTCCTATGAGATGGATGGTTGTCAGCTCATGGCAAGGTCAGCCAGCAGCCTGATGACATCAGCCGGCTGAGACCACCTGTGACATCATGCCTTTCGAACTCTTGGGTTGATCCTCAGTGAAAGACTTAAAGCTGGGAAGGCAAATCTACAGCAGAAGGAGTGCCGTGCGTGCTTGCGTTTCACAACCATTTTGTATATTTACATTTATTTGCAGATTAAATCATTTAACCAGAGGCAAAAGAGGGAGAAGGTCAGTTTTGTCTTGTTTCCTGTTGTTAGTGTGTGTCCATGCAGTGCAGTGTGGGTGCGATGAGAGGGTGTTGCTGGACTCTTGGCAGCTCTAAGATATAATTACATTAAGGCCACAGGTGAAACTGCATCAACAATCCATTAAATCGAGATACTACCACCTCTTTTTAGTTTGGCTATGTGTGTGTGTGTTTTACTGCTCTTGATATGTTCAAAAGAATTAAGCTTAATCTTTTTTGCAGCTTACTGTTGCAGATGGCTCTTGCAAACAGAAAAGGAACATCTCATTGTAATATCAGTATATAAGTTTGCATAGTTCTTAAGGCCATTTCCAGAAGTGCTGTACATTCTGAACATTAAAAAAAAGCTGCTATAAGATGTCTTATTTCTGTTTCGGTAAAGCAAATCAAATGAAAATATAGAAAATGGAAATGTAAGGTGAATGAAAACAAAAAATCAGTTCTAAAAGAATGAATGAAAAAGTATGAAAAAGTAATACAAAAGTTGGAGAAAATTGATTTGATTTGGGTGAGGCGTAAGCAATTTCTCATTTCCGCTTTTTTAGTCGCATGAACTGACTGAACCCATGTCTCCAGTGTATGTGCTTTACAGCATGCTCACCAAAGTCCATATATTCATGTGGCTCTCAAATGCATGCTATGTGTGAGCTGCGGTCATCTGTTTCAAATTAGTGTCACAGATTTTCATCCTGTCACTCATTTCTTTCTGGATGTCTGTTTTTCCACATGTCATTACAGATCCATCCACTCCTGGTTGACCTCCTCCCCTCTCCACTCAGAGGCATTTGCTGTCATTTCTGACTCCTATGTTTCTATACCTCAGATTAGTTAAGTAGCCATTGCGCGAGTGGTCTCAACATGCCTCCTTTCTGATCTGAATACAGCTGGATAGCTTTAAGTACAGGTGTAAAACACACTGAAAATGTAATCACTTGCATCACATCCAGAGGAGGACCGTGTTTAAAGCCTCACTGAAGGACTCTTTAACCATTGCACAATGCAAATGTTAGTGATTCCTTACACGTTTATGTTGTTTCTGGTTCAATCTGTGAAAATCAATAATTGTATTTGGAAATGGGCAGGACATTTCATTATGACATAACCTCCTGCTGTGGAAGTGTGTGTCATTTCTACAGTGACTGTATTGAGGAAGGTTCTAACAAAGACAAAGGAAAGGAAATTATTTATAATGGGATTCTATCCATAATTTAAACACAACCTCTGTTTATGAACTCTGTTCATACACAGGTGGCAACAACGAAAAGAAGTTGGCTGGTATTTCTCCAGCAGGGAGACGGCAGGCTGCTTAATAAAGAATGCAGGGTTTTATCTGGAGGATCAGGTTGCAGATTGTTTTGTGTGACATAAGGTACAACATATATAACTGTAAAGATTTTGTATTACGTAACTAGACCCCACAGAGAATTATTAACAATCCAAATTGCATTGGGTTTGAAAGGGTCTGCTTTCACATATTTGGGACACAGA